ACTAAATCTCACAGAATCTGGAAAGATAAATAAAACATGCACGTTGTTCAAAAATCATATGATTAAATGCCACCGAGTGAGACAAATGAAGTATTTTAAATCTCAATTTTGAGTGTTAGCTCAAAGAGAGGTGGTGGATAGAGTAAAAAATTCAAACAATAACTAAATCTATTAAAGTAGCCATTATAGCCAGCATATGTGAAAGAAAATAAAAAATTTATAAGGGATATATCAGTCAATGAAGAATTTAACATGTACATGTCCAAAGCATTCATCATGTGAAAACCTTCAGAATAAGCAAATTGCAAGAATAATCGGTAACTACCAGACAGACGGTGGCAATGGCTCGGCCTCTTTAATGGACTCAGTGGTGGAACAATTCAACGTCTACTCAGCTTCTTTGATCTACTCCACGAGGCACAGATCTGCAACAATGGTAGAGAATGACGATGGAGGGAGGAAGAATGATTTATTTTAAACCTAATGTTGAAAGTTCTACTGTTACAACTAATATTACCAAAACACCACCGCCTCTACTTTTAATAGTAGGTACCTGTTAATTGATGTAAAAAATCTTTTGTAAAAACCAAAATCTGTACTAATGCAAGGTTTCAACTAGTTTTTTTTTTTTTTTAGAATTATGAAATAATTATCAATAATTTACATTACAATCTGTAGAGGGTATGTATTTACACGAGCAAATGATCAATGAAGAGTACAACGCAACATTTTGAGAAAATGACTGTGCATGCTTCTAAGCGTACATACTCTCTCTAATTTATTTATAAAGCATAAAAAGTAGATTTTTTGGACATTATTTATGAGATATCTCATTGACTTTTACCACAAGTTTTTCTCTTTGTCATTCATTAAACGTTGGTGGAAGAAAAATATTTATATTTAACATAAAAATATTTGAAAACTAGTTAATATTTTTAGATAGAGTTGGCAAATTTTTAAATTTTCACCGATTATAAAAAAACATGTTAAAAATAACTTCCATAATAAATAAGATTGAAAAGAATAATTAACTATTATTACCTTCATACCTACCAAAATGTTCAAAGGCTAGCTATACTTAGAGCTGGCAACATGAATTGTTGGTTTAAACTCTTTTTTTTATAATAGTTTGGGCTTGAAACTTGGATTTTTTAGCATAATTGAGCTTTCAAGTTTGATCATATGAGGCCTTCTAAAAGGAGATTGGACATTTCATTCAAACTTTTTTTTTTTTGCTTTACCCTTAAAAAATATTTTCAATTTTTAAATTAAATTTATGTAGGTTTTTTAAAAATTGTTGAACATCATAATTTATATTTTGAAAAAAGAATATGTAATATCATAATGTGAAATTAAAGTTGGGAAAACATAAATTTTAATTTTTATATTTTGCTCACATTTTATTATAGATTTTTACACATTTTTCAGTACTATATGCCCCTACATTATTGTTTTTCAATGTTTTTGGTCCCAAAATAAACAAAGTGTCAGGACTTTGGAGGAATTTAAAACACCAAAAAATAAAAGTATAGGAACTTAGAATATCTAAAAAAATATATAAAGATCTATAGCAAAATACAAGATTTAAAGTTATGCTTTTCCATTAATTTTTTAAAAATAAGAATAAAAAAATAAAAAAAATGTTTAAAAAATTTAACCTTGAACTCTTTAATAAAGACAGGGCTTCAAAAGTCACCATATTTTAAGAGATTAGGTTTATAAAGAATGGACTCATTTGTTTTTCAGCTGTAACTTTACTGTACTGTGTCTATTATACACCCCCCACTCTCATTTATAAGGGGCTTAATTGTTTTAATATTTTTAAAAAGTTAACTATATTCAACTTAATTACGTATTAGGTTATTTCTTTCCCTAAAATGCCCATGATGGGCATTTAGCAGTGTTTAACATTCTTTCTTCCTTGATGATTCTTTCTTTTTTTTTGTGAGCAGATCGCAATGATTCATTTATTGCCACTATTTTTAACCACTTCTATTTAAAACAACTGATTTAAACTAAGTGGTAAAATTTAAAAACTTCATTAACTACAATATAATTTTGCTTATATTTAATATCAAGAAAATTGTTTTATTGCTTCTGTTTATAAGCGATAACAGAAAAAGTAGACATGGACCTGGACGTTTCTCGCAAAGCAATTTTTGTAATTAATTCTGAGGCGGCTTCCCTTCTCGATGAGCCTGTCTACAGTGGCAGAGAACTCTCCAGTCATAACTTTAAATTAAATAGAAATAATTAATAATGACGGCTAATATTGATTAATTAGATAATACTGCCTTCATTTTAAATTATAGGGTGCTTTTTTTAAAAATTTATATCTTAAAATATAAAATATTTTAAATGAATTAATGTTTTATTAAATGCATCAATTTTAATAATATTCTTTCTCTCTTTATAATTAATTTATATCCTTTTTCTTTTGAATATATTAAATGATGGATATTTTTAAACGTTTATATTTTTATTTTAAAAAGATAAGGTTGTCAAGTATATATAATAAAATTTATTAATATATAAAATTTTATTTAAAAATATTTTATAATTTAAGATGTAAAGAATATAATCTTCTCTGATATCCCTGGAGCATGGAAAATCATGTGATCCCCTTGGTAGTTTGCATCCTTGTTGTGCATATTCTTACTGATGCCATTTGTCATAAACTCAGCTACTTCTACACACACACACACACACACATAAATGAAAAGCTTCAATCAAGTCAAAATTCCTCGTCCAGAAAGCTCGTTAGGGAGACGAGGAAAACACTGCTTCAACAAATTCATCCTAACTGGTAATAATTTTTTTTCAAAGTGTAACGAGCGACCTTTAATCTAGGAAGTATAAAGTACTAAATACACTGATTAATGTTACTACCATATGTATTTTTATTTTTAACTATAAGTAAAACTATAAATTTTAAGAAACATTTTTTATTTTTTTCAAGATGTCTCTCGTAGAGTAAATGTTTATTTTCACAGGATAAATTTGTTTCAATAATTATATAGACACTTTAATTAAATTTTTTAAATTTAAATATAATTATTATATTTAACTAATTTTTTTAAATCGTATGAAGTGATCATTTTTTTTATATATGAAAACAGGAAAGCAGTATATGTTATGCCCCATGTTTTTGAGATGGAAATTTATATGTGTAATTCAAAAGCTCAGAGCTCAACAACTGAACGAATATTGTAAATGCGGTCACCTACCGGAAAATGAAGAAAAATAAGGAACAAGTCAGCTGGGTTGTTGTCCATATAAACATGCGACATCGCACCTAAAATACATGTAATATTGCTTAATGCTTAATTTGGACTGAATAACTAATCATTTACGCTATATATATATATATATATATAAAACCCAACTGACATACATAATTTTCATTCCAAGCACCCTCACCCATAATTAAAAACCGTACTATCTGCCATGAATGGTATATTATTATTTCAACGTGGCTCCACCTTCCACCAATCATTTCCCTTGTTAATTGGATCTCGTGTTGGGAGATATTTTTAAACCAAGATATATAGCTAAACATACCATGTACAATTATTTATACATTTTGATTTTGAATAAGGTCTCGTAACGTTGTCGAAGTCAACATTATATACGCAGAGGCTTCCTTTACAAAGGCTTCATGACTCAAACTTTAATTTGTAATTATTTTGTTGTTTTTGAATGAGTGACTGATCATATTATTTTGTAAGTACATAGTTCGAGGGGAAACGGTGCATATGATGAATGATGAGAGCTGGATCGATTTCTGCTTCTTCTTCTTGTTTTTTTTTTTTTTTATTTCAATGCTGAACAAATAGTGGGGAGATTAAAAGGAAAATAATTTAATTCTTCTCCAACACCTTCAATGCTGTTTCCAGTAATAGTTAAGAGTGACGAGGCAGGAAATACAAATTTGTGCATCTGGTAATAATATTTTTCGTTGGTCGTCAAGCTAGGAAATAATTATTTAAATAAGATTACATATATAAATCCAACTAAAGGATAAGTGACGGAGAAAAATTTACTCTCTACATTTAAAAATATAAAATATTTTTTAAAAAGTTAGATGTTAAAAAATATAAGACATATTTAATCTTTTGAGATATAATTATTGTCTTTTTTTTTAAGTATCCTTATCAATGAATAACTTTATATTTATTATAAGATATTTAATAGGAATAAATATGAAAAGATATGGTTAATTTGAAAGTAATAATTACTTTATTAAAAGGTAAAATTTATTTAAAAATATCTTATATTTTTTAGTGGAAGGAATATTAATTGAGGAAATTTTATACCAAATATAGATATTAATATTTTTTAAAATTTAATTCTTAATATTAATTAAAATAATATATAAATAAATTATATGAAAAATTTAAAAATAGACCTTAATTTTATTTATATCATAAATTTTTTATGATAAATACAAGAGTGAAAAATATTTTCAAATACCTATGCTTGAAAATTTTAAAAATGATGTGGAACAATGGATTTTTGATGGAAGGCAGTTACAATTTTAGAGGAGGCAAATGTAATTTTGTCAAAAAAAGAAGTGTCTACTTTTTATATATTTCAATTGCCCCGCCATTCTCAGTAGTTAGTATGATGGGCACAGGGTAGGGTAGGCATGAGAGGCGCGCTTCGAAGTCAAACTCAAAAGAGAATTAGCATTAAGGTGAGAGAGTCTTGGGTAGACTGTAGAGGACTCTGCGTATTTTATTTTCTTAAAAAAAGAAAAAAAAAAAAGAAAGACAGCGTATTTGGCAGATGGTGAGCTTCCATTGGTTGCAAGTTGTAATGTAACTCTAATTAGTAATCAGTAATAAATATAATTTACAATCCACAGCCCCTTTTACTTTTCAAACACCCAGTGCCCACTTTTGTAAGACTATTCAACGCTGCCTTCATCTCTTTTTGAGTATTTTTCCAAAAGCCTCCGCCACGCCACCTCCCCCCTTTATATATACTTGAACGCACCCTCGGATCTGCCCACATCCTCCCGAAACGCCAACCTCTGTTCGGATCCGTTCCTGCAATTTCTGCCGCCATGGCCTCCGAACTCATTTTCAGAGGCCACGAGTCCCAGCCCGTCCACGATTCCTACTCCCCCAAGCCCCTCAAGCCTTGGCTCTCCCTCACCCGCCCCATCCGCTATCTCCTCCTCGAGCAGCGCCTCCTCTTCGTCCTCCTCGGCATTGCCATCGCCTCCCTCTTCTTCATCTTCTTCCCCTCCTCCCGCATCCCTCCCCGCCCCGACTCTCTCCCCGTCCCTTACTTCCAGTACGACTCCGCCCCTTTGTTCCATGAGCCCAGGATCGACCGCTCTCTCCCCCACAGGATGCCTGTTCATTCCTTCGGCAAGGTCCCCTTGGGGATTAAGAGAAAGGGACTCCGCATCGTTGTCACCGGCGGCGCGGGTTTTGTCGGTTCCCACCTCGTGGATCGTCTGATTGCCAGGGGCGACAGCGTCATCGTCGTCGATAATTTCTTCACCGGAAGGAAGGAGAACGTGATGCACCACTTCGGGAACCCCAGATTCGAGCTCATTCGGCACGACGTCGTCGAGCCCCTCTTGCTGGAGGTGGATCAGATCTATCATCTTGCATGCCCTGCATCCCCCGTTCATTACAAGTTCAACCCGGTCAAGACTATCATATCCTTTTTCTGCGACCCGGTCCAATTGTTCAATTTCTCTGTCAAAAATACGTTCTCTGTGTTATGTTTTCATTCGTATTCATTGCTCCGTGCTTTGGAGTCCTTAATTGTTTGGTTGTTCACAAGACCAATGTGGTGGGAACCTTGAACATGCTGGGGCTGGCTAAAAGAGTCGGCGCAAGGTTTTTGCTCACCAGTACCAGCGAGGTTTACGGCGATCCTCTTCAACACCCTCAGAAGGAGACTTACTGGGGCAACGTCAATCCTATTGGTGGGTACTCTCTCTCTCTCTCTCTCTCTCTCTCGCGGTTTCCAGTGAACCAGCCGGACTTTCATCGCATTCTGTTCATTCGGTCAGTTAGCACCTGAATTTGCGTGGAACGGGTCCTCTTTTTGCTCCGTGTAGAACGGCGCACCTTAGCGTGCCTTGACATTGACTGACTAACATGCTCAGAAATAAGCGTAGGTTTAGATTTTAATTTGGCTGGCTTTACAGCTTTGAATGTATTTGTGCGTGGGAGGCTGGGTGGGGACTGGGGTAGTGTTTTATTCTTCTAGCTACAACTCTCTTTTAATTAGGAAAAAGGAAATAAAACTCTTGCTTAGACACGTGGGGTTCGGTGAGAGGACCACGTTTACAGATCCGGTCGGAATTTCACGGTCAACGAGGAACCCGTGATTTGCGGGTCCACTAGATGTAGGGTTGAGATCTTCTTTAAAACTTGAGGGACACATGGCAGGCGTGAAGGAAATCCCCGCCATAACATATTTTTAACGGCTGTACGTTAAAAGTTTTAAAACGGTAAAACGGTGAAGGGCATTTTGGTCCGTAAACTGCAAGGCTGGATGCCTCAATAGACAAAGCGTTTAATGGAAGTCTGTTCTGTTGTGCGAATGTGCGACAGGTGTCCGAAGTTGCTACGACGAGGGAAAGCGTACGGCCGAGACGTTGACAATGGATTACCACAGAGGAGCAGGCGTTGAGGTCCTTCTCCATTACAACCTTGCTGGTGCTGAGTTTATTTAGAAACTATAAATTTGTTTTGTCTTTTATACATTTCTCGTTACAGGTTAGAATTGCTAGAATCTTTAACACCTATGGTCCCCGAATGTGCCTGGACGATGGTCGCGTTGTCAGCAACTTCGTTGCTCAGGTGGCTTTATTTATTTATTTTTTTTGCGAGCAAAGTGTAACTAATACTGTAGGTGTATTGTAGAAATGAGCTGTTAAATTGATTTTTTAATATCAATAACTGTTGGGGTTGTGACAGGCGTTAAGAAAGGAGCCTTTGACTGTATATGGGGATGGAAAGCAGACAAGGAGTTTTCAGTATGTTTCTGATTTGGTAAGCCGGTTTTTGTGGTGCTTTGTTTTGGTAGTAATTAACATGTTCGTTATAATTTTGAATATCAAGTTGGTTTTGAATGCAAAGAGAGATGGGCTTGCTTTTGAGCCTTCTTTCCCCCTGTTCGAAAGCTAAATCTGTTTCACTTTTCCCATGTGCGTACTGTGTGTATGACATAAACAATTCCTGGCGTTCTGACTGCCATGGCCCCTGGCATTAGTAAATCTGTTATCTGCAAGCTGCATCTCTCTGCTAGATGCGTAAAATGACTCGATTGCCCATACTTGCGTCGGTTGTGCATAGTGTGGTACAGAAGATGCAGCTGCACGTGATTGTGAACGAAATGGATGTGCCGGGGTGGGCCAGTTCTTTCGGTAACTTAAATTGCAAGAAGATACAAAATTTTAACCGACACTCTGGGAAGAATGGAAGCTCTGGATGGTGTAATTTAAATTAAAATAAATGGGAGTGTGGTGCCAGGTGTGCGAGAAGGATAATGTAAATGCAGAGGCAATGAAGTTTTGAAAATAACACGTGTAGTCATAATTTTAATCTTCAAGGTTGTTGGGTGAGAATGAGATGAGTGAGATGCTTTTTTGATGTTGTGGCACAGGTCGAGGGTCTGATGCGCCTTATGGAGGGAGAGCATGTGGGGCCTTTCAACCTCGGAAATCCTGGTGAATTCACCATGCTCGAACTTGCCAAGGTAAGCTCAGACAATTCTTGAAATCAGACCAATGTAATTACTGCTAAGAACTGGCCATGACTAGACTTGGCTGGTGGCGATGCAGGTGGTGCAAGAAACGATAGACCCCGATGCGAAGATAGAGTACAGACCCAACACAGAGGATGATCCACACAAGAGGAAGCCTGATATTTCAAGGGCCAAGGAACTATTAGGGTGGGAGCCCAAGGTGGACCTGCGCAAGGGACTGCCTTTAATGGTTTCTGACTTCCGACAACGTATTTTTGGTGACCACAAGGAAGGTGCAACCTCCACCTAATTCTTGACTAGAAACACCAATGTGCCATACAGAAGCAGACAACAGGGGAGGATCAAGGATGGTTGTCGTCTGCCAGGCAGAGTTAGGGGTCTTTCCCCATATCCTCAACCTCAAGATCCACCTCTACGTGGATTTTCTTGTTCACCCTTTTCAAGATTGGTAGTCAACCAGAGCGTTACATTTCTTAAATTTCTCCCCGTCTATTTTTTTTTCTCATTTATTTTTTTTCTTGTTGGGATGTTTATGTATAAGAGGCTAGTTATACTATACTTATTATGATGATGATGGTGATGGTGATTATACTTATTCACATTTTTACTTATCCAGCGATTTCGATTCCACCTGCCTCGAAATAATCATTGCATGCTTGATCTTTGCCGGGTTCTGCACCCGAGTTAGATGATATTGGCACAATGTTCCTTTGCCGGCTTCTTCGCCCGGGTTCGTGCATTGTTTGCAGAATTATGGGAAACGTATTAGTTTGGTCTAAAATCTAATGCTTTTCATGATTAGAGAATGAAATTTTCACCAATATGCAATGAACCAGGCCATAGCTCACAGACCCCACTCCGCTGTTAGCTTTTTTGGTTTATCAAGTAACAAAAGGACACAAAGGTTCACCAGTTAAGCGTTGTTAACAAAAGCTACCAAGTTGTTGGCAATCTTCCCAACTTTCGACGGAGATGAAGCTGTTGAGAATTGATTAAAGAGGCTATGGTCCACTGCAGCGACGCTATGATCCATGCAACGACAATTTTGGTGCCATTGTGTCTGAATTCCAGATACATGCCCTGCTCACTCACTGCCATCCCTTCAATTTCAAACAAATGCCACAATACCTGACCAAAATTAAGCCAATTCCACCGCTACTAGTCTCAACCAGTTTCATTTGTACCTTTTTTCAAAAACAAAATTTGAAGCCTGTGCATTTGAGCTTTCTGATTATAATTAAATTTAGCAGACAGCCATCTGATGAATAAATGCTGACAGCTGGATGGAACTGAGGAATAAGAAAATGCTCTTGGCATAGAAAGTTCAGTCCTGTTATCGAAAGCTGTTTCAAGAAACGTCGAGTTATAGAAAAATGAAGCAATCACGGACCAAAACCTTTTTCCTGAGTTCCGAGTGTTGATTTCAACCCGCGAGTATAACTATCCCAGCATCAATTTTTCATTGTTAGAATGCAGACCTTATATAAGATCAAAACAATAAGTCTAATGGGAGAATCATCTGCTTCTCGTAACTGATACAACCTGTCTGTTCACATGATTGAATGGGATTTCCACAATACCATTTTTATGAGATAGAAGATAGCAGTTCTACAAATGCCACATTAATAGTAACAGATCGACTGCTTTTAAGTAAAATAAGCATCAACTTGTATCGCTTGAACCGTATAAAGCATACACTGCCTTAAAGTAGAAAAACGGTTATGAACAATTACAGGGTGGACCAAAACATGCCCGCTCTAATGCGTTTTTCTTTAGGTGTGACAAAGATAAACTGCTAAAGAACAAATGCAGTTGTTGGCGTACGCTAGGAAGGCCGAAGTCTCAAATATGTTATTCTTCAGTCCATGCTCCGAACAAATGTTATCTCAAGAAGTTCTAGAATAGTCAGCGGCAGCACTGAAAGCTGAAACCAAACAAGCCATCCCAATTACCTGCGTCCAGTTTCTTGTCCCAGCAGCAACGGCTGCACCTGCTACAGCACCCGCAATCAAACCATTGACCTGATGGAAAATTTTCAAATAGAAGAAAAGGGGAAATCAAAATTCATTCTTTAACAACTCGTTTAGCTATCTCCAATATCAACTGTTAAATTCCTTCAGATCCAACCACAATTTATGAATATATATACAGGGAGAAATGTTTTTCCCAACAAAAATGCCTAGGTATCTAGAACTTAAAAACTGTCAAGAATCATACTGCCAGATGTAAATCTGCTCCATTTCCAAAGAAAATGCACCACAACAATTTCAGTTAGTTTCAAAAATGCACTACAACAGGGCATATGGATCTGCCACAATTGCGGTGACAGAAATTTTGCAGTGGAACAAAATTTTAACAGAAAAGACTTGTCTATGGCTATATGTCGAAGGAGTTAGTAAAAACTTCTGGCACTGAGCCTCCTAGAGATAACTGAATGACAAAAGTGAGTTGAGGTCAATCCACGTCCCGATATTGTCCTTATACATGGATTGTCTGGACGCACAAATGAAGAATCTCACTGATCTTCCATTATATATTTAAATCAACCACTGAGGCCCTTGGTACTTCAATTTGGCGTAGTGCTATAGTGACTATGACCCATACTGCTCCGTGCTCCTCGGCTATCAGGCTCCCCACTTGATTACGATGAATTTGTTACCCTGTGATGAGTCTAATGCATTTGATTAGAGAGAAGGGGGGGGGGGGGAGAGAAAGAGAGATTCTTAATATGTCCTCATCACTCCTAGTTACAAGCTTGTGTGAGAGGGTTCAGTCACAGTGGCTGAGAAGAGTGAAGCTATTAAGGAAATAGAAACAAGGAGAAGATAGAGGATCCAACAGCCTTTGAGAAATCAACCCTGTTCTTCATTTTGGTGGAGTCATTTTCAGTGTACAATTATAGAAGGGTTGGTATTCGTACGTACATACGTACGTACGTATGAAATTGACACCATGCATTTCACAAAGGAACATAAAGAATTCATTTTAAATAATGTCTTCTCAACTCCCTCTTTTGTTTAGTTATAGCATGAAGGTAGACTGACCAATCTACGTGAACCACAAAAATAGAAAATATACCAGAAGGCAAACACAAAACAAGCAAGATTTTCTTACATGGAGCCACAATAATTTAGCTAAAATTACAGATCACAGGCAGCAGCTAGCTCATTGAAAGAAATCAAACCATAGAATTAGATTTTATGGTGGGAGAAATATAAAATTCATTTTGTGATGATCCAACACAATCTATTACTTAATGCTAAATTTTATTCATTAAACAAAAACTAATTAATTATCTTGGTATCTTTGTCAGACATGACTACCAATCATTGGCACTGTCAGTCAATCTCATATTCACACAATATAAAGCATACGCTATATAAACTCAAAGAACACAGCCAGCGGATGAAATTTATGAAGAGAAAAAACCATAAATTAATTGGAAAATTTGTTTCTACCATCATCTATGAAGCACAAAGTTTAAATTTTACAATGGATCTACAGTTGTTCAAGATTGATAATGCAGTTGCAGTACACTTGAACCATCGCTTTAGCTGATCAAAATGTAAAGAAATTCAAACCCATTCGTGTCGATTGTTTTTCTTAACGATTTTAAAAATAAGCCGAAGAATAAATAAGACAGAACTAACCCAATCATCCCGATTCCTGTATCTCTGAATCCCACATCTAGTAATGCTAAAAATTCCAGCCACAAGTCCTTAACATTAAAATTAAAATAAAGGGTGTTAAAAGCTTTAAGTAACGCTAGAGCAACTCAATCAAACGATCAATTTTATCAATTTAATTACCACATTGAAACCCGTATCTACCGACGGAGTTAGCCTGTACTTATCGTCATCAGCTGGTAGTATTGGAAAATCCAAATAACAATATTCATAAGCTAACTTTTTCTTTTTCTTTTAAATAAAGACTACCTTACCACAAAGGAAGCTTGGCGAAGGCCAGTAAAACCTGCAAACATGCAAGCTTACTTCATTCCAGCTAGTTCAGAATCGAAGTAATACTTGGATATTATATTAATTCGACGAATACCCAAACCTTGTTTACGAGCGTCGTATGGACCACTGCATAGGCCCCAGATAGCACCAGCCTGAAGCAGAATATAGCATTTACAAAATCATTTAATCTTCTCGCCTTGATCAAGAACCGTGAGTACGGGAATCAAGAAGCAGATGCAACTAGGATAGACGTTGTTACCGTTCCGACGCGGATGATTGACTCAACGGCGAGGGAAGAGCACGGAACGACGCAGTATACGTCGTCTTCCATTTTGTATTCCCCGATTCTATCGCTCGGACATCTCTCTACTCTCCTCGCCGGTAATCAGGGCGGCGCTGACCCAACTTGAAATGAATGATATATATCATTCTGGGATCTCACTTTTTGTTATATGGGCCAACCCAGTAAAAATTATCCAACAGTCCTATTGGGCCTTAAAACTGAGGCGTGAATAAGAGAAATGCCACTTTCATGAGGGGCCGAAGAGGTAAAAGAGAGGGAGGAACGGGGGGTGAGACGACACTAAATGTTGTCGTTTTTGGAGACGGATCCCCAGGAATTCAAGGCTAGAACTAGAATCTGTTCGAAGGAGATCCCTTTTTTTCTTTTCTTTTTTTTTTTTCATCTATGCCTTAGAAAGGGAAATCCTTTTTCTGTGGGCCCTCAACGTATTGTTATATGGGCCAACCTAGTAAAAATTATCCAGTAACAATATTGAGCCTTTCTTTCATTGGCAAAAAATTTTTTGAGCCTTAAAACCGAGACATGAATCAGACTATAAGAAAACAAACAGTATTCATTACTAATAAGCATTTGTTCAAGTGGTTAGAACTTAGATAGTTTAACCGAGATTTTATGTTCGAGTTTCAAAATATACGGTAATGTAATAAGTATAAAATAATGAATCTAGCATATCCAAATGTTTCAGCATATCAGATGCCAAAAAAAAAAAAAACAGTATTCATTAAAAAAGAAAGGGGGGGGGGCGAAAAAAGGAGAGCGACGACGCTATCTGTTGTCGTTTTTGGATACGGAAACCCTAGAATCTACGAAACCTCATTAAAACCATATATGCGACAGAAACCCGCCTCTTCCTCACTTCACCATCCCAAGATTCAGGGCACGACGTGAAAATGAGCCGTGGAGCATCTGCAGGGGCTAAGGGCAAAAAGAAGGGAGCGACCTTCATGATCGACTGTTCAAAACCGGTGGAAGATAAGATCATGGACATCGCTTCTTTGGAGAAATTCCTTCAGGAGAGGATTAAAGTTGGTGGCAAGGCCGGAGCCCTTGGCGATTCCGTCACTGTTACTCGGGAGAAGAGCAAGATCACTGTCACTTCTGACAGCAATTTCTCCAAGAGGTAACCCTTTCGTCTTAGATGATGTTTCTAGTTTCAGCCGCTACTTTTAGGTTTTTCGTGTTACAATGCTTTCATTGGCCATGGATTTCAACCCCTTTGACTGCCCTTCGTTTGCTAAATATTCATATTAAATTGCAATTCTTTATTACTCTATTTCATCGCTCTGGTAAATCATTCGAAGAGATCAGGAGTGGTACCACGGTCTTGGCTCTGAGATGAAAGTGATGTATTCATGTGGCGCGTTCCTTTCCATGTCTTTAGCTGACCGATTGTTTCCTTGAAAAGTATTTTGATGCTATTTTTATGCATAAGGCGCAAAAGATGTAGATGCGACAATGATAAATGAATATGTATCATTTACTGATATTCTTCTAATTACGACTGACGACTAACTTTGATTGTTTTATTTTCGTATTCTTTCGAGCATACACAATGTCGTCTCCCGTGTTTCGAAGCAATTAAATATATTTATGTCTGCTGGTTTGTTATGTTCTCTACTGTGAGGATAAGGGGAGTATCTACACTTGTAATTCAATTGATGAGTGTGGGAGGGGAGCAGAGAGAAGATAGACGCACCCAGTAAAACTTTTTTTTTTTTTTTGGGGTTTAAGTGGAATGGTTGGTCCAGTGATCAGTAGTCCAGTAGAACAATGACAGTAACGTCTGCTGAATTAGAAGGGGCTCCCTGCTTGTTTAAACAACTTACTTGAACTGTTTTAGTGATTTGAGGTCATTTTTTTGTGTTACGCTTCCTATCAATATTAATAATGCATTAGTTTCATGATAGACCAATGATCTGAGTTCTGGATGTGCCATATTAATTTGCTTTTCAAGTCTTCTCTTATCTAGTGATTGTATTTCATATCCTTATGATATGCTTGTATTTTTTTTTTTCTTTGTTTCACCTTTTCAGATATCTGAAATACTTAACTAAGAAGTATTTGAAGAAACACAATGTGAGGGATTGGCTTCGGGTTATTGCTGCTAACAAGGATCGCAATGTTTATGAGCTAAGATACTTTAACATTGCTGAGAATGAGGGTGAGGATGAAGACTAGAGATGTGTTTAGCTGTCTTGAGGAATTATGCGTTGTGTTAGGCTTAGTTATCAAAGAGTCTTGTTTTATCAGTTTTGTTTATTGACTTGCCAACTGTTCTTCAATATTCTTGCGTTTCTTTTGGGTCCAACTTTATGTCCTTATGTTGTTTTATAGACGTTATTGGAGAGGTAATGTCAAGAAGTTTTAGATGCTGCTCATGCAGCATATATATTGAGGATTTTGATTTGGGTTAACTGCATGTGTGTTTCCAATGCTTCACAGTTCGCGTACTGATGGAAAGTAGTCCTTTTTAAAATCGACCCGAGTGATGAAACTAAACTCATGAGTCGTCAAAAATCAAAATAATGAGATCTAAGCCGGTTTGTAAGGTGTGAGGGCAGATTGTGTTCAATGTGTTTTCCAAGGGTATCCGCTTGATTCTAACCAAATTTATGGCCTGATTGTTAAACTATGTTTTTTTTAATGGAAAAATCATTTATCTATTGGAAAAAAATCCATTTTGTAAAATTTTAAGCTGCTTGTTTTAACTTTAGAAAAATAATCAAAATCAAAAAAAGTATTTTTAATTATTTTGAAAAGTTATTTTGAGTAATTTTTAAAAATAATTTGTATTGGTAGGTGTAAAGGCTAAGTTATGCAAAATTCTTATAAATTTTAAATCATGTATAAATAATCTCTTTAACTTTTAAAATTTAATAATAAGCAATCTTGGAGTTTTAAATTTATACAAATAATTTTTATTCATTAATTATATGTTCTATTAAACTTTATTTTTATGTGTATTTAAGTACTTAAACTTTGATTGATTGTATAGGTAACATTTTTAAACTTTAAATTATGTGTGAAAAGTTAATGTATAAAATTAATTATATAAAGTTATTTAAATGAATAAAAGAGTTGGGAGGTTTATTGTAAAGTTTTAAAAATTAATAAAGTTATATGTATGTGATTCAAAGTTGAGTGGAGCGATGTATTATTTAACTAGATGTAAATGAGAGATAATGTTATAAAAATACATGCATATATAATGATATCACAAAATTTTTAAATAATTAAATAATAAATTATTTTTTATAAATATTTGTAAAATATTATAAACTAAAAAATACTAAATAAAATAAATGTTTTTTAATAAAATTTTCAAACCATGTGAATAAATATCTATTATATTTTTAAATGAGAAAATATAACTTTTGGTTCCTGCACTTTGTTCATATTTTATTATAAGTCTTTGCACTTTTTTTTATTGTTAATATTTTGGATTTCTACACTTTTATTTTTCAGTATTTTAAGTTCCTAAATGACTAAAATGCTCATGTGGGGATTTTAAATGAACATAAAGCATGAAAAATGAAAGAGTAAGAATTCAAAATATAAAAAAATATATAGAGATCTATAGCAAAACACGAACAAAGTACGGGGATCAAAAGCTATGTTTTTCCTTTTTAAATTGTTGGATGTTAGATTTTATAATATTTTTATGGATGTCTATTCATAAAAAATGATTTGTTCTATTAAAAAATATAAAATATTTTTTGAGTGGATGAATGTTAAAAAATATAAGGTATGTAATCATTGTATTTTTTTTTAAAAGTATTTCTATTAAATAATTACTTTATATTTATTTTAAAATAAAATACCTTACTATATAGGAGTAATTATAAAAAGATAGTATTAATTTGAAGTGAAGCAAAGTACCTTACATTTTTTAACAGATAAAGTATCATTTAGTTATTTTATAATTTTACAATAACTTTATATATTTTCAAATTTTTCATAATATGCTCTCATTTATATTATTTTTAAAGTATGATTTCAGAATCTATTTTTTAATTATTATTATTTTAAAAATTTAAACAAATGTCATGAAATATAACAAAATATATTTTTTATAAATAAATAAATAATTTTTTAAAGGGAAAAAAAATTTAAACAAATACGTTCTCATTAAGTAAGTCCGCATGACTAAATATTAAAGAAAAATATGATTACAAGAAAATCTCTGCTGCCAACGGATATGGACAAATCCTTGGTAAAGCCTGGCCTTGTTGGCTGAGCGGCTGGAACAGGTTCCCGCCATCCATGACCCATGCTGGCATCCACGAAACTGGTTTCATCTACGCACCCAAGTCTTCATCTTTTACATCCCACCCTTGAATCTTGGGTCTGGAATACCCTGATTCGATCCAGAGTTCAACATTCAGCCTTTTCACCTCATTCTTCACTCTTCGTCTACCTTCGCATGCGCTTCCATGGTGTCCTGCCCAATCCTCACACCTATCCTTTCCTTCTCCAATCCTTTAAATCCCCACCTCACCTTCGTCTCGGACAACAAGTTCATGCTCAGATTTTTGTATTTGGTCCTTCAAATGACCTGTTCGTGCAAACCTCCCTTATCAATATGTACTCGTCTTGTGGCTATCTGATTTTCGCCCGCCAAGTATTCGATGAAATTCCACAGCCCGACTTGCCATCTTGGAATTCCATTATCCATGCAAATGCCAAGGCGGGTATGATTGATGTTGCAAGGAAACTGTTTGATGAGATGCCTCAGAGGAATGTCATATCGTGGAGCTGTATGATTAATGGGTATGTAAGTTGTGCCGAATATAAATCGGCACTCTCTTTATTTCGTGAATTGCAGATGTTCGGAGGTCAGAAACTTCAACCGAATGAGTTCACCATTTCAGCTGTACTCTCTGCTTGTGGACGGCTAGGTGCGCTTGAGCAGGGTAAATGGCTTCATGCTTATATTGACAAATGTGGGATAAAAGTTGATGTTGTCTTAGGGACATCACTGATAGACATGTACGCGAAATGTGGAGACATTGAAAAGGCGAAATTAATGTTTGATATTTTGGGCCCTGAAAAGGATGTAATGGCTTGGAGTGCAATGATCTCTGCCTTGGCCATGCATGGACTCGCAGAGGAGTGCCTTGGAATATTTGCAAGGATGATAAATAATGGGCTAAGGCCTAACGCTGTGACATTTTGGGTGTGCTTTGTGCTTGTGTGCATAGAGGTTTGGTAAGTGCAGGAATAGAATATTTTAAGCGGATGACGATAGAATTTGGTATTATTCCTCTGATCCAACACTACGGTTGCATGGTTGACCTATATAGTAGAGCTGGTAGAATTAAGGCAGCTCGGAATGTGGTGAAATCTATGCCTATGAAACCTGATGTGCTAATCTGGGGATCTCTACTCAGTGGTGCTAGGATGTATGGAGACATTGAGACCTGTGAGATCTCATTGAAGAAACTTGTTGAGTTGGACCCTTCAAATAGCGGTGCGTACGTGCTTCTTTCTAATGTGTACGCAAAGCTGGGAAGGTGGGGCGAAGTGAGGCAGTTGAGAGATTTTATGGAGGCGAGGGGTATCAAGAAAGTTCCTGGCTGTAGTCTGGTTGAAATAGATGGTGCTCTTCACGAGTTCACTGCAGGAGATGATTCTCACCCAGACACTCATGATATACATATGATGTTGGATGAAATTATAAGGAGGTTGAAAAAGCATGGTTACACAGGAAACACAAGTGAGGTCTTGCTTGATTTGGATGAGGAAGGGAAGGAGACTGCGTTATACTTTCACAGTGAAAAGTTGGCAGTTGCATACTGCTTTTTGAAGACAAGCTCGGGCACCACAATACGAATTGTGAAGAACTTAAGGATGTGTGGTGATTGTCATATGGCTATAAAGACGATGTCTTTGGAATTCAACGAGAGATTATAGTTAGAGATTGCAACCGGTTTCACCATTTCAAAAATGGGATATGCTCATGCAATGACTACTGGTAAATATAATGGAGAAGTGTTGTTTATTTGTCAAGAGAGGTTTATGATAGAGATTCCATTTCATATGACATATGCCATCACTTTCAAAACTGAAATGAAGACAAATGAGAAGAAATGTTGTCAGTTGTTACCCATATAGAAGGTGATCCAATTTCTAATGAAATACGGAGTTTGAATAAGCATTCAAGTTTGTTAGACTGTCGAAACTAGAATCGGAGACCTGTGGAGAAATATGCAGAAATAATGAATTTGCTGCATGTAAAGTGTATGTTAAAAGGATCCTGTGATCTGCTAATTTTGTTTATTTATTTAAATTTAAAAATAGTCATAGTCTCATTGAAGAAACCTGGACTTGATGTGTTATCGAATAGTCAGCGAAAGTTGGCTGCTGAGATGGGCTATCCTAAGTATATGGGTATTAAGCTTAGAAAAGAGATAGGGAAATTTAGGCTCCCCTCATTTGTTACCTTTTAGAGATGCTATCTGTGGAATCCTTTAATAAAGAAGTTTTTCACATTAGTTTATTATCTTTGTATTACCTAGGTTATATTGTGAGATGATTCATTTTTGTAATTGAAGATCGATTTTAGTGATCCACACTTGATAATTTGCAGAGCTATTTTTTTATTGTGCTATCTCTTATCATTTATCCAGTTAACAAGGTGCTCATTAAATTGTCCTGTTGACTAGACCCTATTGCTAATGTTCAAAACTGACTAAATTGGATTGAGTCATGGAATTCTACCAGAACATAACTAATTACAAATGAGGTTTGTTTGTTTGTTTTTTTTTTAGCAGAAACTGAAATTTCATTAATCAGCTAAGATCAACACAAATCAAATACGCTGAAAAGAAAGCAAAAAGGGGGGTCACACTCTTTCATCATCAGCCAACTCGCGCAGGAAAGGTGGGGGTGCTCAAAGGGACAAAAGGCCCCTTAATTTTATGAAATGCTCTAATTAGGGAATTGGTTATAGAAATAGATTTTTTAAGAACATGAAACAAATAAAGAGACCAGTTTGTTTGAAAGATCAATCTAACCTCCTCTACGATATCCCAAGGGGTACTACGGATCACAACCTCTAATAATCATATTTATAGCCTCAACATAGTCAGGATAAATGACAATGCTGGTAAATCCCCTAGGTCAACAAACATTCAGACCCTGTATGACCGTAATCATCCTTGTAACAGCTAGAGGGATAGAAATCAACTTGCAGGAGAAACCACATATCCAGTTTCTGGCGCTGTCACGTAGTTCTCCTCCACAGCCACTGCTACCATTAGAGAAAATTGAGGCATCTACCTCCACGTAAGAGAAGTCCTCACGGCTGGTCTGTGAACAAGTACTTGGGTTCTTATGGTTCTTGAAAATGGTACTTTTGTTCAACAGGTTCCTATATCTATTGAAGTGCGAAATAGACTTCAGGGGCAGAACCAATTTCCAATTCCGAGGGCAAATGCTGAATTTAAAAAAAAAAACACATGCATTTAATTAAAAATATTGTAAATTACATGATAATATAGGTTAGCTTTTCTTTTTAGATAAAGCAAGCTTAGTCCTTCTTTCTTTCATATCATTAAATTCATCTATAAAAGATTCTGTATCAAACTCATTAACAATTCACTTTTCAATATATACAAACAAAGAATCATAAAGGTATATATCATTCATCTTGTTGCGAATCATGGTTTCAATAGTGTTCATAGCTGAAAAAGATCATTATATTATAACTGTAGAAATTGAAAGAGTGAGAATTAAAGTTACAATTCAAATATATAAAACCATGGGTATAAATCATTGATGGTAATCTGAAAATTAAAAAGTTATTAAACATGACCAAAATGCTCAAATTGTATATTTAATTGTAGCATTTAATGTGTTAAAATAATCCTATAGGTAGAACTTTTCTACCATCTTAATAATATCATCAATTCTAAACAATATGCGCATTTCTCTTGAATTCAAAGCAAAGCTATGAATAAGCAACTTCACTATATCATCATTAAATTTTTTATTTAATTTTTATAATTGAGAGTCTTATTGCATTGAAAATGTCAACTTGATAATGATTTTCTATTATAGACTCATCTTGTTGATGACGAGCTCTCTTCTATCAATATAATAATGAGCATCAAAATTTGGGATAGGCATATATTAAGTTACAAAAAGATTTTATCTTTACAAGTAACTCTTTCCACCCATCATCTCTTAATTTTTGAATAAGCAACTTAGTGGATGAAATGAAATGCATTGCATTCACAATATTTTGTTATTAAAGTTATAGAGCTTGACAAAGCATGTTAGAAATCTCTAAAGTTTGTTTCATAAGATGCATGATGAATATGCATGGTGTCTTTTTTTTTTTGATAAACTGATATAGTATCTTTTTCATCTAAAAAAATTGCAAAAACTAATAAGAAGCTAACAAATAAATAAGATATTCTTTTAATTTAGCGAAATACAGGCCAAAGCATGTAAATACAAGTAGTGAAAAAAAATATAAATAAAAATATTAAAAAAATACCGTCTCAACCTCATATAGTACGGAAACATATATCGTATTCCATATTTGCATGTCAAGTTCTCAATCTCATATGGATGTGTCACGTTTGCTGCGTGTCATTGTTCTGCAAATTTGCCATCCGTTGTAAATTGATTTTGGGAGAGAGAGACATCATCAACATCGAGTTAAGAGAGAGAAACAGAACCGCCGAACTAAACAGGGAAGTGAGATTTGGAACACACCTTTGCTTTGCTTGTATATATTAGGAGGATTTAGGAAGTGAGAACTGGGAGGAAGTCGCAGTCACTCATGCTCATTGCTGGACCTGGACGGGAACGAGACGCGGAAGCTTCGAACTTCCACAGATATTGTGTTGAGCACTCGAGCTTGCTTGCACACACAGTCAGAGAGCAGGGTAGCTGGTAGCTTATCATCACCAGGTAGTTCCGCCCTCGATAGACTTTGAAAGGCATTCTTCTCATCACTAGCTGCTTGCTCGTCCCCAATTTGGCTATATATGCTAGGATATCTAGGTAACTAGGTGTAAAAAATATATATATGCAAGGATATCTAGGTAACTAGGTGTATTGCACATTCATGACAGCAATTCTGCTATCATTTGATAGTCAATCTAAAAAACTTTTGCATGTGCCCCATTTCTCTATTTGATATCTGAATGAGATGATCTAAGTGCCCACAAAAAAATCATAATATAAACTTCTAAATCAAGTCACACTAAGAAGTTGGATACCCAAATACATTTTCACAACTTTTTTCAATTTTCTTAACAAAAGAGGGTCCAAAACCCTAGTGTTAAAAGCTATTTCTAACATCTAAATCATATTTATTGGACTAAAGACCTACAATACAACACACTACATGCACTTATACACTACTATTTCACATTTTTACCCCTCAACCCTTTTAATACCAAAAATAAAAATGGGAGGTTTTAGCATTGCATTTCATAAAAAATCATCCATATGATGTTTACAACAACCTTGCTACACTTGCACTAGTATTTCGACCCTATTAACATTTACATTTATTATAAATAACACCTCAAGGTCCAAAATATATTTTATGCATCATAAACAATTATATAATGTAAGTGTAAAACAAAAATGCATCTTAATAGCCCATATTTAAACTATTACACGAAATAAATGAGAATAGCAAGTTTTACAATAGGAATCCAATATTTTTAAGCCTCTGGGAGCTTTTTCCTTTCTATACCGAAGCTAGAGCCTGTCAAATGTTGAAAGAGAGGGATGAATCTAACTACTTAATAACTAAGGTACACCTACCCTATATAGTTGTATATCAATTTAATAATTACACAAAATGAAGTTGATTTTCTTAAAATATACACACCAACATGGGTAATACAAATTGTTATTTCTCAATTGAATTCATTCTCATAATTTTTATCTCATTCTCATCACAATCACATAATACATTGCCACAAGATACATAAGCATGTGATAAAGACCCAATTTATTATCATAACCTGCTACAAACTTAAACAAGCATGTGACATGTCATATAATCACATATGTATGATCAACTATCTTTATACCCTCATTATTTTCTTCAAATGAAACCATGGGCTATAACATTAAATACGGCTCTTTCTGTGTGAGTGGACTACCAAGTTTACCAATTGTGAGGTGTGACTTGACTAAAGATTATAAGACTTACTCTCGAACCATGATTTCTCTTACTTTCAAATCTTTGAGGTGTTGTATACCTTAAGCGAACTTTAGCCAGCTGATCATACTATGTACAATGCCTACTCATTTTCACAATTTCATTTATTCATTATTAGCACATTAGGCTCACGATAATATACTACCTAAGTGAGCATCAATTTCAATACAATTATCTTTATCCCAAATACAATTAATCACAATTCACATTCATTATACCAATCACCAATTTCTCATTCCAATACAACAATGTAAATTGAAATTCATTTCAAATTTACTTTTGCAACTTTAGTTCGAATCAAACAAATATACTATCTCATATTTCATAGCATGTTATCATATCAACACATTCAATCATTCACGTGCACAAACTCCTTTTCACATTAATGCACAATTAATAAACAATTATCCAAAGTATGATTTCTCAAGTTACCTCAAACCTTTGAGAAGTCAAAGATTTACCTCTTAATTATTTGCTTCCAAGTTTGATTTCCTAAGCTAAAATGGTGTTCGAATGGTTAATCTATAATTAATCAAATCTAAACTCATCAATAGTATTAAAACACATTTCATCTCTCACATTTTCACTCTTAAAATAACTAACACCCTTATTTCTCACCTCTGGGCTCGCTCATTAGATATAATAATTCTCTTTATCTCTCAATATCATTAATGAGTCATTAAACCTCCATTAATGGCATTACAACTCTTTCAATAACCTTCATTAATGTCATTTTTGGATGTTTATAGCATCTACCAACCAACAACCTTTAAAACCATTAATATTAGGTTTAATTACTCTAAATAATTCTTATTAACTCCATTTGAGTCAATAGATTCAGATCTATAATTTATATGGATCAAAATAATCTTCTATTATTAAACCCTAACCAAAAATCTCATAAAAATGGAAGAGAAATGAAGATTAAAGTGTAGGACAATTATCTTAGGTGTTTTCTAGTACTAAAATACTCCCAAACCAAACAATGTGACAAACCCTAGCAGAGCTTTGTTGAGCATTTTCGTTTTCCTCTTCTCACTCTTCTTATTTCTTTATCAGTTTGCGACCAGTATATCAGAAACAAAGGGTCCTTTTGTCCCTTCATCACCTGTGCGCTATGGCAATCATGCTACACACTATGACATGTGGTACAGAGGCAATCCTTCATGTTTTTCTCCTTCTTTTGATGCTCAGGTGGCTTGACTTCATTTCAAACCCACAATTAGGGCTAAAACCACAACTAAATACATTTATTAGACATTTCTAACTACACATCACATCAATTTACTCAATTGTCATAATTAAACTTGATCAATTATTTAGCAATTCAAAGATTAAAATTTAGGATGTTATAGGTTGCAACTCACCTCTTATGTCAAAAATCATCTCGCTTGAAATCGTCTCATAAAGGAGGAATATTTTGGTTATTTTGTTAGATTGTTTTATAAACATTTTATTTAGAATAGTCCTTCAAATGCAATTGGTCCTTATGCAAAATTTCTGTTTCAACTACATCTTTTTCACCGATTCTCCCTTTCATCAATATTGCTAAAATATTAAATATTTTCATATTTAATAATTTAAATATTATTACTTAAAAATATTCATTTAAAATTTTTAAATATTAACAAATCAAACTATTTTTTTATAAATTTATAGATGACTTTTTATTTTTTACATATTGATCTCTGAGCTTCTCTTTAAGACAGTGTTTAGATCATTATGCATTTTTTTGCGTGCCAAAACTTAACTATATTTTTAATATTGGTCAAATTGCTTAAATTTTTAGGTCATTGTCTATAATTTTTAGGTCAACTAATAATTTTCCTCCACAATATTATATTATCAAAATTTAATACTCTTTGTATATTATAATGTTAGATGTACAATAAAAAACATAACAAATCAAGAACAATATGCCAGCAAAAATGTTATTGAAAAGATATTGCTTATTTTATTAATATGGTACAAAAAAAGTTACTTAATAAGAGAATAATAGAGAGATGAGAAGAAAAAAATTTCTTTGTTAATTTAGATGTTCATTCCCTTTAATTTTAATACAAAATTGAAAAATATAAAAATTATTAAAATATTAAATTGGATGGTTTAGTATTTTGAAAGAAAATGGTTAGCTGATTAAAAAAATTACAAAGAAGGGCCTAAAAAATTTAAGAAACTCAATCAATATTAAAAATATAATTGATATATAAAAATATTACTACCAGTCATATGTAAATTTCTAAAAAATTAGTTTAAGTTATTAATATTTAAAAAATAATTTATAAATTTTGAATAAATATATAAAAATAATAATATTTAAATTATTAAATATTAAAATACTTAATATTTTAATAATATTTATTAAACTTTAATTTAACAAGAGTTCGGGGTGATCAGCACTCTAAAATTTAAAGTGCTCAACGCTCTTAAAAAAAAGAGTTCAGGAGAAAAATGGTATCAAATAATATGGTTAGAGTATTACCTGTCACTATCACATCAGTAAAAAAAGGCAAAATTAATGGTTGACCAATAGAAGAGATTTTTTTTATCCTTAAAAAAAAATTAAGGGTAAAGTTGCATCACTTTTCAGTACAGGTGCCCGATGATCCTAAAAAAAATTCAAGAATAAAAATACACCTTAACTTTTAATATTAATAAGCTTGATGTTAGGCAGCTATTTTTTATAGGAATTTTTTTATCAATGTTACAAATAAATTGATTTTAAAAAAATTATTTGGGAGAGGACAACTACTTAAAATGGTGTTTAGATTCCTTTGGGAATTAGTTTTATGATTGATGGCTGTGGGAATATCTTAAGAAACCAAAAAAATTGATTCTAAAAAAGCATTGTTGAGTTGTTAAATAGTATTTGCTTTTCTCAAAATATTTTCAACATGTATTAATAGTATTACTATGTGAATTTATGAATATCCATCCCTCCATTTTTTATTTAAAATGGTATGAATAAGAAGTTAAATCTGATTTGTTAATAATTGATTTTTTCCCCTAAATATATCTTATTTTGGCACTATACGAGCTAAGCAAGATAGAATAAAGCCAGTTGCACAACCAAATCAATTTGACCTCGAGGAATTTGGTTGAATTTGATTGTTGTAGCGAATTCAAAAAAAATCCAAATTTTCATTTTCAATTGCTAGTTGCTATTACTCCGTTTAAAAATATAAAATATTATTATTATTTACTTTTAAACTAATCCTATCTTTTTATATTTATCTTTATTAAATATCTTACAATGAATATAAATTATTATTAATAGGGATACTTTAAAAATAATAATAATTATACCTCACAAAATTAAAAATATTTTATATTTTTAAACATTTAATTTTTTAAAAATATTTTATATTTTTAAATGAAAAGTATGTGTTGCGAGAGAAGGAAGTAACTGGTCGCCAGTATCCCAGAAAGTGGTCGCGTGCTTTCGTTTTGTTGGATGTAGTAAAAACTGATCGATCGCGTTATTTCATTGTTCTTAGCTCTAGTGACAAGTTGACGGAGGATTATTAGATTACATGTTCCTTCGTGATTCATTGGTTATTCGTGAATGTGGATTGTGGAGTGGACACGTGCGTCCTGACGTTAACGTAGGAGGCATGAGTTATGGCAGATTCAGTCCTTTTTCTTTTTTTCTCTTTTTTTTTGGGTAAAATAGGAAAACCTTATTCATAAAGAAGAAATCAAGTACAAACTAATAAATGCCAAAGAAGGAAGATTCAGTCGTTTTTCTTCGGCTCCACAATTAGCTATGTTTGCGTCTTCACAGTCCGGCAATAGCCGGATTGCAATTTGCAAGATCGGGAAACTTCGCTACCTCCTTTCCCTGGTCCCGAGTTCTTCTGTTTTCTCATCTTTGAAGAAATAAGTCAAAATACAAAAGAAGCTCTCTGATTTTTCTTTTTAGACTTCGAGTGACTGATCATACAAGACAGATCTTTCTTATTTCCCAAAAAAAAAAATAAATTGTGGGCTGCTCTTCAGATTCAGATTTTTAAAATTTTCATGATAGAAGGAAGATATTATTGAAATTCATGCTGCTTAATTTTTGATTCTGTTACCTTCCAATTCAAAGGAAAATCACGCGTATGTGGTTGTATAATAAAATAATTGGCAGATATCGGTATGAATGACATATGCACATGCATATATAATTTTTAAACGTGTTGATTGGGGACGATTTGCATAATTGGAGTTGAAAGTATTTTCAGGAAGCGTGTTCCATTTAAAAAAAAAAAAAACCCTGAAAATAATCATTTGAGATCAGCAGGAAAGTGTTCTGTCGGGGGACGTAACATTTTTAATTCATCGGGACTTGCATATCTAACCTCATTTAGCATTAAGCTTGACTCAAGCATTTGATTCAATTTATTAATATTATCATTATTGTCAAATTTGATAATATTATAAGTTTAACTAAATTTTTTAGCCATGCCAAAATTTAATAATTTAACTAGTGAAATTTAATCTCTAAAAGTTTCAAAAATTTAAATTATTGTTCTCACATTTTTTTTAAAAAGCGTTTAATATTATTAAGTTTAATCTAATAAAAAAAAGTTAGTCGTTTACAATAAGAAAGACTTTGAATTTTTATTAAAAAAATATTTATATTTAATGTTTGATAATATTTTAAATATGATTATTTTTAATGAAATGGTACACGTGCGTAAGTATATAATTTTTTTTTTTAGTAACTAAGTTGTTTTAAGCAATGAAATGTGGCAATAAACACCATTAATCAGATCAAAACTAAAATTATTGTTAATGACCTTGTAACTTAATGATATGTAAATTTTTTTTGTAAGTAAGAGATTATAGATTGAATTTCGTTCATAACCTCAGGCATTAGTGTTAGGCCCTCGAATTCGGGGGGGGGGGGGATCATCAATTTTAATTTTTTTTAAAATAACTATATATAATTTTAAAATTTTGATATTATTTTTTAATTTTAACTCGTGTGTGAATGATTTCAGAATAAAGTTCAATCGGTTCGTGTATAAAAATGGATGGGGAGCAGCCGAGTCGGCGTGGCAACTGCAACCACATTCGCTCGTCTCCCTCCTTGCTCCGGAGGGAAAAATAGACAGAAGAGAATACACAGGCTCCCGGAGCCTACGTACAGTGATAGGTTTAAGATACAAACAATGAACTATGATGCGTTGCGATGGCCGTAGGCATCACACTTCTATCTCCATTGCCTTTGCCTTCTTCCTCGGATCTCTGTCTGTACTGGGCCGCCCTTGATCCTTCCTCCTCCTCCCTCAGCTGTGGCCAGACGGACGCATTACATAAATTGTCAGTCTTACCTTCTTTCTTTATATCTAACCTCGTTATTCTTCTAATTAATTCGAGTTCAATTGTCTTTTGTTTTTATCTTGCGGAGTCTGGGTTGGTGAGCTCAGCTCAGTTGTGCTCGTCACGCCGGATTGCGAAGACATAAACAGAAGTTCCATGTCATCTCCTTGTCATAAATACTTGCTGTTTAATTTTACCTTACTGTCCAAACTAGTTGGCTGCTTTGTTTATTTTAACCTGATATGCATTAAGTTTGCTTTTGCTATCTACTCATATGAAAAATTTGTATGCAAACTGGTCATATCTAAAGAAAGCGGGACATCGCTGAAGATTATAAAATTATATTACGACCTGTTGTGGCAGATTTATTGTCTAATTATTCGTAAACATGGTGGCAAAATGGTCATATATTTTATATAGCTGCGTCCACTGATAGAATTCCTTTTGCTTTTCCTTCTTTCATAAAATAAAATAAAGTTTGCAAGTCTTCGATTTCTGACTCTACCTCATTAGAAGTTTGCGTGAGGCGAGCTTCTCCGCGTGACTAACCAAATCAATATAATTTCTTGTTCTTTCAACTTGAATGGATATCGTGTTTAAGCCTAGACTGTTTCGATGACTTTCCCGTGTCTTCTAATTATTGAATTATTTTGTCAGGAGTTCTGAACGCTGCAATCTGGACTGATTGGAGTGGTGCCAGAATTTAATCGAAAGAGAGAGGGAATGCTAGTTGTTTCCAGAATAATGGGGCACGAGAAATGTGAAAGCTACTTAGTTTTTAGTGGTGAAACTGCGCTTGGAGACTCCTTTAGAACGTTTCTATATTTTCTCGGTCTTGCTTATTGTTTCATCGGATTATCAGCTATTACTGCTCGATTCTTTCTCTCTATGGAAAATATTGTTAAGCACAAAAGAGAGGTAGTGGAAGTAGATCCCATTACGCATGCTAAAGTTATTAGACACGACAAAGTATGGAATTACACAATTGCAGACATTAGCTTGCTGGCTTTTGGAACTAGCTTTCCTCAGATATCATTGGCCACCATTGATGCTATACAAAACATTGGAAACCTGTACGCTGGAGGTTTGTGTTTCAAAATATCCTTTCCTATGATAGAGCATTAAAATCAAGTTTGATTTTGTCTCTTAAGTTTCATAGTCAAATATAGATTTGACGTTTAGGCTATATGGTAACATGATTTCTGCACTAGTTGTGGTTCTTGTGGCTTTTTTTCTGGTAATAAGTTCTTGCTGCTATTTGTCATGTATTTACTTCGACATTACTCTTAATATCATATTTGAATAATTAATTAGGTTAGGCCATATATTTAACCACCCTCTCCTTTTTAAATCCCCTCATCCAGGCTTGGATTTGGTAAATAGCTATTACTTGCATATTGGGGATTGGTTTTTCATTGATATACTTGTTTACCACTGGCTACAATGACCTCTCTACAGACTCTGAACAGACATCCGAATCTGTTTGGTTATTTTTCATAAGTATCATCCCAGTGGCTCCAGGAAAAAAATTATTATTTGTGTAGTCATAAAACGGGTCACAACAAATCTGGATAGTTATTTTTTTAATATTTTTTAAATTTCTTAAATGTCAACTATTAAAAAAAAATAAAGATACATAATAAAAATAAAGTAAAATAGAGATGAAAAAAATCCTGGCCGTCTGGATTTAACATTCTAAAATGAAAAAAACAGCACGATGCTGCTGTTTTTACATCAGCAGAAAAATACTGAATTCTCGTAAATAAGTTTTTTAGCAGTCTGAATTCACACTTTGCTATCTCGTCATTTAAAGACAAAGAATACATGCATAAAATCATCTATATTGTATGTGAAGTGAAATTTTGTAGCTTGTACTGGACAGCATGGTGTTCTATGTATCAAGTACAATAAATGGCAGGAAAGTGGAACATAAAATTGAGATTACTAGATATCTCATTACTGTATGTAACTGTGCTGAATATTGTTCAGGTTTGGGTCCTGGAACTCTTGTTGGTTCTGCTGCCTTCGACCTTTTCCCAATACATGCTGTTTGTGTAGTAGTTCCAAAAGCTGGAGAGCTGAAAAAGATTGCTGATTTAGGAGTATGGCTTGTGGAATTATTTTGGTCCTTTTGGGCTTACATTTGGTTATACATAATTTTGGAGGTAATATCTGGACACTCTGCTGTTCAAAAATCATTTTAAGTAATGCACTTTCCTTCTCCTTCTCCTTCTCTGTGATGGATTCACTTCCTGATCTGTGGAATACCCAATTCGAGCCTTCATTCTTCCAAAGAGGTCTAACCTGGTAGAATCTGTCTTTGATGTGAAAAATTTGGAAAGAGAATGTGAGAGAACTTCAAAGACTGTTTCTCATTCTCTTGCCGATAGATGTGCTCTTGTTTTTCATATCTAACATCTATAAGTTCTTGTGCATCTCCTTAGGTTGGTGTTAAACCTTTGTTATACTAACATGCACTTTTGTCAGCAAGTCAGCACCATCTTATTTTTCTGCTTGCTTGTTTAATTCTGGAAGTAAAATTTTTTCTTATGGATATTCATCAAATAGTCCAACATAGGTATGGACTCCAAATGCGGTGACTTTGTGGGAGGCCTTGTTGACAGTAATTCAATATGGATTGCTGTTGATTCATGCTTATGCTCAAGACAAACGTTGGCGCTATATTTCTCTTCCTCTGTATGCCCTTTTCCCTGTTTCCTTTTTATTAGAATTCACTCTGCTGATTAAGATTTTGCAGTCCTTTAGTCTGATGGTTCGTTTAATTTTTGAAGTGCAAGAAGTGAGAGGCCAGAGGATTGGGTGCCGGAAGAGACAGATTCTTTCAAACAGGAAAGCCATGACTATGAGGAGTTCTCTGAGACCGGTACTTAACTGATGGGCCTTGATGTGATGAAGTAATTTTTATTTATCACAATAATTTTTTCTTCGGCGGAGATATTTTCTAGAAACATTCAAAATCATTTGAATCATCCTGTGTTACATTTATCTCTTTTGCAGGTCCTTTGTATGCAAGAGTGCCTGCAACAGACAATGCTATTGAAACCATTGACAATGCTAAGGAAACAATGTTGGATGATGTTCATTTTTTTATACTTTGGAAACAGCAATTTGTGGATGCAGTTATGGTATACTTCATTTTATGCTGCAAATAGCATAGTTTCTGAAAATTAAATGGGTCATTTCATAGATTAATGGATAATATTAACTAGATAATTCTTCCTCTATCCGATGGGTGTGATGGATAATAATAAGTTTTTGGAATTAGACCCTGATAAAATGTGTAGATAAAAGATTGATTATAAGCAAAAAAATTTAGAAAACCCAATGAAATTTGTGGAAAAGATTAAAAGGAAAAAAAAAATTACATAAAGCTCAAGAGGTGTGTCACATTGCTTATGACCTAAGAATAGTGCTGTTTCTTATAAATTTTTTATGTTATAGTCATGATTACTCTGTCACACATTCAAAAAAAATATAACATAACTTTGAAGATTTTGGATCGAGATTGTAATTTACTTATAAACAGTAGTATTTGCTATTTGTTAATATATTTGTTCACTTTATGTTGAATGAGCTATGAATTATGAGAGCATCAACTTTATACCTTCGATTTATGGTGACCGTTCCACTTCTCCAACAGTTGGAAACAAAACATTCCAAAAAGGACAACATCTATCTCCGCGCAGCTACAATCTTCTGGCAATTCCTCCTTTTACCATGGAGACTTCTGTTTGCTTTTGTCCCTCCATGTCATATTGTTCATGGCTGGATTTCTTTCATCTCCTCTCTACTGTTTATCAGTGGGATAGCTTACATCGTGACCAAGCTTACAGATATGATAAGTTGTGTTACAGGTTTCTACGTCACTCATCATTATTTTCTAGCCCATTCTTCTACAGTAAATTTTTATTCAAAATCGTCTACATGGTTTTCAATTCATCATCTATTTGTTGTGTCCCTCTCTGAGTTCTCGCTTTTTGCAGGAATAAATCCTTATGTTGTAGCTTTCACAGCACTAGCTTGCGGAACCTCGTGGCCTGATTTAGTAGCAAGCAAGATAGCTGCTGAACGCCAAACAACTGCGGACTCTGCTATTGCAAACATTACTTGCAGGTCTTCCTCTCAACATGCATCTCATTTAGGACATGGTCACCAAATTGCATCATTTTGTTGAAGAAAGTGCTCTGTCATATTCCTATAATACACATCTAGAACCTGAAAAACTGGATTTAAAAAAGTAATTATTTTAAGAGATTTTTGGTTCAACCTACTGGTATTACCGTATTGGCGTGATTACCTGTGTCAAGCTTAGAAATTCATCAAAGTATACTAGCAAACTATCTAGAACTCATGCTACATTGTCATGAAACTGAAAATTGAGATGTTATCATACAAAATAGATTCATCTTTTTTTTTTTTTTTTGGGGGGGGGGGCAATCAAATAGATTCATCTTTTATTTTCTGATTTTCAGGTATCATTACATAGATTATGGATTTATTTTAAGGGTATATTGGGAGTCATCACCTCAAATTGAACCTATGACCTTTATCCAAAAGTGGGGAGACCTGAGATCGTCAGTTATTCTAGCATTTCTTATATCCCCAGAAATCTCAAACATGTTTACATGAGATACAATATTATCTTACTAATCAGCAGAAAAGCAGAAAAATACCTGTGACTCAACATAACTATTAAATAACTAAAAGAATAAAATAATTTCAGGGATTTCAATGCCAAGTCTTATCATCATATGAAATACACTTGCGTTCTTTACTTTCTCTTTCACATCTGATTCTCTGAATCAAATTAACAAATTACCATTATTCAGTTGATGCAAATAGTTTAATATTTTTTTCTTTTATTGGAAATTAAGAAAAGACAAATTTGAACTGTATAAATCAAATGAATGGTTAGAATTTATTCAAAAGAACCTCTATTTGTTGCCTAAAATAAAGAAAATCTGATGAAGACTTGGTGGGATGGGATGCCAAGTTTCACATTGAGTAGTATGGAATGCTTAATAGAAAATTTAAGTGGGTTGGTTTTTCTACCTCAACAATTAGTTTTTAGGATAGACTTTCTCATCATACTTGGGTACCCCATCAATTGATATCAAAACCTTGTTGGCGATCTGAATATGGCTGCCCATAGAGGGTTCTAACTGGCAGGGGGCTGAGTTAAGTACTATGGAGTGCAATTGTTAGGATATCGGCTTTCCATGGAGAGCCAATTGATATAAACTTGTAGTATATGATAGTATAGGATACTAAGTCCCACATTTAGCAATATGGGACTCTTAATAGGGTATTTAAGTGAGTTCGTTCTTCTATCTCAATAGTTAGCTTTCGGGATAGAGTTTTTTATCCCACTTGGGTGCCTATCAATTGGTATCAGAGCCTTGTCGTTGGCAATCTGAAGAGGGCTACCTATGAGAAGTTTTGACTGACAGGATGCCAAGTTAAGTGCTATTAGGTGCAACCGTCAGGAGGCCGGCTTTCCATGCAATTGATGGAGACTTGGTTGTTTGGCATACAAGTCCCACATTGAATATTATGAGACTCTCAATACGATATTTAAATGGGTTGGTTATCACATTTCAACAGCTAGTTTTTGGATGGAGTTTCACATCCTACTTGATACCTATCAAAATTTTTAGATCAAAATCCTGGTATTTAACTGGTTTCCCAAATCAATCATCACTCTTGTTATGAAGAAGCATTCAAAATTTATGGGAAACTAATTTTATGTTTTGTTTGTTGGTGAGCAGTAATTCAGTGAATATATATGTGGGCATTGGGGTTCCATGGCTGATTGACACGGCGTATAACTTTGTAGCGTATAGACAACCTCTGCGGATCAAAGATGCATCTGGCCTAAGCTTTTCATTGCTTGTTTTCTTCTGCACGTCTTTCGGGTGTATCATTGTTTTGGTTATTAGGCGACTAGTGTTTGGTGCAGAGCTAGGAGGGCCAAGGCTCTGGGCCTGGATTACCTGCGTCTACTTCATGTTCCTCTGGATTATTTTTGTTGTGCTATCTTCACTCAAGGTTTCTGGGGTCATATAGAATTATATTTCAGATTTTTCAATTATAGAGGTATACACCCATCTTATGCCAATGCCATTTGCATCAGTGCATGATTTATACTCTACATTTGTGCTATGTCACATCTTCAGTCGTATACCCTTTCACTTTCCCACATTCTTTTCCATGTATCGTATAACTAGTTATAGTGATTCGAAATGGGGCATGAATCAAATGTATTGAAGCTGCTCCTCTTTTCAAACTTCTAGTGCTCAGTTTTGATATTTTCAGTATTTCTTTTTTATGTTGTCAGCAATTTTTTTTATTTATTAAAATTTTAAAGAAGAGTATTGAAAAGGTCCAAATAAAAGTACTAACAAAATTTAAAGATGAGAATTAAAAAAATTCATTTCAACCAAGAATTTTAGTATTTTTCAAAAATAACCTAAAATTTGTGATTCTTAACCATGTATAATTTTTCTTACAAGATTCTCAAATGTTACTCTCCTGAAAATAGTGCTCAGGTTTTTCTTAAAGGCAATCACTTAATATTATAGAATCTTTTTCTCTTATGGTACTTTTTTTAATTTCTTGTTAGACAAATCGGATCCTTGCATTCGTGTTCTTTCGGTCTTTTCAAATATTTTAAGATTCTAAATTTACTATTAGAAAATATTAAAAGAAAAGCTAATATCAAAATAATAATAATAATAATAAGAATAATAATAATAATAAAATTCTCTCTAAGACATCCAACAGATCCAACATGAGAGTAATTAAGGGCTGCAACCTCTTTCCTCTCGAATAATTGACAGTTTAGTATATTCAAGATCACGCTGAAAATGTCAATAAAATATCAGTTAGGTGTGATCTGATAACGGATACATGTAAATCGACAAACAATTTTAGTCCATTGACATGTTTGGCTTCTAATATCTTCTATTAAACCTTAACCAGATTCTTACTCAATAAATGTATGAAAAAGTGTGAATTAGGTGGTAATCATTAAAAACGTCACTATGTCTCATTTTGCATCTAACGCGGAACTTTGAGGGCGCATCTTGATGTATAAAAGCAAGTTGTAATCTTTCCCAGTCATGTTTTCTCAAATAAGCGTGATTATAAAATGTTTCTCTTGTTATTTATAACTTGTTTCGCGTCGATCTATAATCTATTGCGATTTTCTTCAATCTCAAAGGACCCTAAAAATACGCGGAGAAATAGAAAAGAATGCGCAAGGTAGCATACACATTTTAAGTATTATTTTGGAAAAGAAAAAAATTCTGGCATATTCTGAAGCGCTTAGTTTTTTTTTTTTTTGGAAAAAAAATATAATGTAATCCGATTTAAAATCTATTTGAATTTATGTCTAATGTCAAGATTCAACCAAGTCACCTTGAGAATCAGACGCGGTTCCCGCAACACCTAATTTGTGCCGACAAAACAAGCGTCTTCGGAGTGCTTGCAATTAACCTGAGCTTTGCGCCCCAATTCTTTCCGGTCTTTCTTGTCGAGTTTATCCTTCGACTATATTTACCAGAAGGGTGTAATGTAACACATGGGGAAGCGACAGAGCTCGATTCAAGATGGAATACATTTCACATTACAACAAGGAAAGGGAAATCTTCTCAAGAACATACTGATAAAACTATACTAGTGAAGGAAGAGAGGCGAAAATTGGAGCTAAGATAAGAGGTGCTATGAACAGAATGATCAAGTACAATATCAAAAAAAGAAAAGGTTGGATACTCAGGCAACTTATTCGCCAACAATTAGAATAGGGTTCGCAGCAGCAGAACCAAATTTCTTTGTTTCATACAACCACTCTGCCAAGTCCCCAGCTACATCTACGCCAGAAGCGACCCACAGCTTAAGCAAGTGCACCCGTACATGCTGTCGCTGGAGCGCCTTCACGCTGCTTCTTTGTTGAGCTGTATTTCTTGGTAATAAACCTGGACACACAACCCACAAACACATTTCACAAAATCATTCTGACATATCAGCCATTCATTCTCAGAAGGAGTTTCCACAAACAATCACAAGAGAAAAGCTTTCGAAGCAGTTTTATCAGAATATGTTTGTTTTGAATGAATTGAATAGAAATTAGGGACGTAATCATAATATGAAGCTGTCTTAAAAATGCTTCTTGCCAATAGATTCTTGAGTAAACTAATGTAACCATCAGAAGCATTTCATGCGTTTTATTTTCATGACTTCAAAAACGTGAACAAAAAAGCTATAATCAGATCAGGAACCATGAGGCCCCAACATTTCTAGGAAAAAAGACGTGATAGCCTCAACTGCAATTTGTGACCATGTAAAAAGAGAAGTAAATGATACAAAATCTTTACCAGAAAGGCACATTGACTAAAAGAAAATGCCACACCACATCAAAGTTCAAGGGAGAGGGAAAAAAGTTAACAATACAATTTACCTAAAGAAGTCCCTCCATAACAACTCAAACATCAACCAATTTGTTCCATTATTGGATATGCCGCCGCCGCCGCCATTGTTTTGGCTTGATGAGGCGGGAATTGTTCTATCAGTCATGTAATTCAACAGTGAGCTTAATAGAACAAAGCCTATTAGCATGAGAAGTGACAATGTAAAAATAATCTGAAAGGAGTATTATCTAAGGGCGCACCTGCTGGAAGTCTTCTGTAGTTCACCAAACATTGTGCGAGGGGAGAGGCATCCCATTGCCAACCATGGAGAAATTTTGCAGGAGAAGTTGGCACCGTATATACTACCTTGTTTGCCATCTGCAAGCCCCTTCTGTGGTTGAGCTTCACACTCAGCTGCAAATTTTCTGAGCTTCTGCAATGCTTCAGTCTCCCCTCCTACCATAGAAGTATTAGCAGCTGACTTCCCATTCTACAGGGATGACAATATAATTATTTTTCAGGACCAATATAGGCTGCAATGACTTCATCATAGACAAGCCATGCTCCTTCTCCATGATAGACAATGAGAAAAGATAGGAGGCAGCACAAAAGTAAAGATTTAAAAGACAGCTTGATGTTAGAGAACACAGGATGGCAGAAATGATTGGGTAACTATCTGGTACAGCCCACCGAGCTAAAAATGTTTTACAAGCAGAATTGTAATAACCCAACTTCCATTCTAAAAAAGAACACTCGCTTCTACTCATTTCTCAGCCAACGTCCAGGTAACTGGAAACGACCATTAGGACACCACTGGTCCATATTAATCATAATGTTTGTCATTTCCAATTTATGAGCAATAAAGCACAGACGTGCAACACATAATAATGTCTACAGCTAGACACAACAGAGCAAGTCATTAGAGTGATAACACCAAAGAAGTAAATTGCTAATTAAATGATGGTACATAATTGAACAAAACCTGTGCCATTGTCGCTGATGGATTTAGGCCAAGGTCCCTTAAGGAGGGAATATCCCCAGGTTCCACGTCTCCTCGAGATGGCAGTCCCTTCAGCTGATCCAATGCCTCAATTGTCTTCCTTATCTCCAACTTTTGAACTTTCTCCCTAAATCCTCCATAGTTCGTGGGCATATCTTCCAATTTGAAAGGCAAGTCATCAACATGGAACAAAGTACTACCCCAGAAGTATTTAACCTCCACATTTTCTTCCTTCATTGCCGCCTCAATTCTCTCCTCCGCCTTAACCTCGTCGTGGGAAACCTCCCTGTGCGCGTACACAGCATCAGCGCCAATCGCCTTGGCCATCTCAACCAATACTGTCTCAGGCTTCCCAATTCTGACCACAAGATCAGACCCCCTCGCCTGAAGGTTCTTGCGAAGGTTCGAGACCGATTCGATTAAGAATGTGGCACGGTATGGCCCGGTCTTATCGAACCCAGAAGATGATTTCCCGTAATCTCTGGGATCAAAACAATAAACCGGCAAGACCGACATGGATTCGTTGTTGGCGGAGTTAAGGCATTCGTTATCGTGGACGCGTAAATCATTGCGGAACCATACAATGGAAGCTCGACGAATTGCAGCCCCATTGGAAGGATCAAAGGGGCGGTGAGGACCCAAAGTAAGAGGATTCTGAAGGGGATTGGCCGAGATGGTGGACTTAAAGGAGATTTTAGAAGGCGAAGGAGAAGAAGTAGTGGAAAGAGAAAGGTGTGTGAGTGAGGAAGCCTGCGTAGGGACCTTAACCTTGCTGGGGTGCGACGAGAATACGGCAGAAGTGTTGGGTTGCGCGAAAAAGTGAGAGGGGAGAATAGCAGACAGAGAAAGAGAGAGTGAGGCAGTAGCAAATGGAGGCACGTGGGTTTCTTTGGACGGCACTACGGCAAGTGGGTTCTGTTCTTCCTCGACTATAAGGTCTTGGTTCTCCGCCATTTGGTGATTGGAATCCATTTGCGCTCAAAGGTTTTGGAAGATGAAGATGGCGTCAAAGATAAGCCTAGCTTAGCGGTCTCCCTCACAATCCCCTCTATCTGTTAACTATGCAATTTCTGGGCTTTTAAAAACCGTCTGGGCGTATCTATTGAGGATGACGTCCATTCACCTAACCTATCTACTAACTTTCAACCTTCACAGCGCTCGGTCTCATGTAATCCGACAGAAATGGGGTAATTTGATCACACTCAGTCACTCTGTTCTCCAAATTGGTATTTAACGCTTTGTTCTTCCGTGTGCCTGGAACATCATTGCATTTGGCCAGCATAATTCTGGTATTGGCAATCTTAAATGTTTTCATTCTTTTTAAGGTTAAATTGTATAAATTTTTTTTAATTTTTAAGGTAATTGCATCTGATCCCATCGTCTTGAAATATTTAAAATTAAAATTAATTTTATTATATTATTAATAAAATTTATCACGTCAGATTAATGTAATATATATATATAGATAGTACATGATATGAAAAAAATATTTTTTATTATTTTCGAACACAATCTAAAGAGAGGCAAAATTGTAATTTTTTAATTTCAACTCACATGATGAACATTTATTTATTTTGGTTGAATGACATTATTTTCGTTATTCATTGTTAACAGAATTTAATAAAAAGGCTATATTTTTATTGTTTTTTATAAATTAAAATAACCTTTTATATTTAAACAAAGAAAAGAAAAATATCTGCAAAGTTTTCATTGATAAAAATTATAAAAAAATTTATCTATTTTTTTTTTATTTTAAGGGGAGGTGTAGCATTTTCAAAGGCACGAGATCGAACTCGAAACCTAGTACCACAAAAGCACATCTCAAAAAATAATGAAAAAAAATTAACATCATGTAATTCAAAACATTAAAATCAGGTGTCATTTTTTTTTTTTTGCATTTTTGATCTTACTAGAAGCTTCTTTAATTGAAGAAAAAAATTAATCTTTTAATCTTTCAACTTTTAATTTACTTATAACTTAATTTTTTAACTATGATATGTTGCCATTCAGTTCTTCAATTATAACTCACTTCAACTCAATCCCTCAATTTTTGATTTACTTATAATTTGATCCTTATTTTTAAATTTTTTTAAAAATATTCCTTTTCAATTAAGAGGAATAAAAGAAATGCTCATATATTATTTTAAAATATTTTTCTCTTACTCTTTGATGTGAGATTTAAGCTAACATAAAAAAAATTAACAAAAGTTGAGGGACTAAATTATAAATGAGTCAAAAGTTAAGGGACTGAGTCATAGACAAGTCATAATTAAGGGACTAAGTCGCAGTAAGTTATAATTGAGAAATTGAGTTATAAGTGAATTAAAAATTAAAAGATTAAAAGATTAATTTTTTTAATTGAAATATGATAAATGTGTAATTTTTTAAGGAATGAGATAGTGGGTATATTATTTTAAAAATGCTCACAAAGTATAGCCCAATTCAATATGTAGTTTTTCTTTCCCTCAATTGTGTTAAAAATAATAAAAAATATTTTTCTCATGTCATGTTCTATGTGTATTGTATTATTACGAGGTGATAAATTGTATTTATAATATGACAAAATTAATCAACAGTGGTGGTTTTGAAAAATAAAATTAAAAATTAAAAGAATTAATTTTAAATATTTAAAAATGAGGAGCTAATGTGAAATTGCCTTAAAATTAAAGGGATTTTATACAATTTAGCTTCATCTTCCGCTCCTCTAAATGCCGATCCATGCAGATGTTGTTTGGGCTATCCATTGGCTGATTGTAGGGTAGGTTTTTTTTACTTTGCCGACGCACGGAAATAAAATGACATTTATTTTGGTATAATATTACCAAAAAAATTAAAATATGTCTCAGAACAATTTTTTTTTTAAATAGTGAATGGTTAACGCACTATTTTAAGGTGTGCTAATACATGCATAGGACTCTCTTTGTTTCCTTTTTGGGGCCAGACTCTGTAACTAGTTACTAATTGGTAGTCACTTCATCAAATACGCACACTACGTGTACATGTATATAAATTCCATGCTAAAAAAATTAAGAAAAATCTTTCCTGTACACGAGACGTGATGTGTAATTATAGTTTATCTAAACAATTTTTAACCCCCGCATATATTTTTAGAAAAAAAGAATGAATATTAAATGCTCTGTTAGATATTTTTAGACGTAGTATGATTATGACGATTTTGATAAGGAGAAACTGCAACTCACGGTGGAGGGGAGGGATAAGTTGGTTTGACTCTCCTGGATAATGGATACTATGAGCCAAAACCACATATGACCGAAAGATGGCAAGCCTCCTGTTGGATTTGCACAGGCGAGACAACGATTTCTCCAAGTGGAAATCAAGAAGACGATATCAGATACAGCTTTAATTCGAAGGCGTCATTGGTGAAAGATGAAACTCACACACTTAGAATGCTTTATGGATTTTGCAAAAGCAGCCCCTGTTTATTACATGCACCCCAGACTGACCTACTCCTTTACCAGAAAATTCTGCGTTTCTGCGATGAACGACAATGACCCATTACTCCTTTCTGCCACCGATTCTGCTTCTCTTCGTTATCAGGAATCTCATCGACCACGTAAATCTATCTCTCCCCGCCTCCGTGATTTATCCAGTTAACTTTTATCTTATTCTTTTAGACATTTCATCGAGCATTTTAAGGACGGTGTTGAATCCATATGGGCGACTCTGCTTACCTCAACTTGTCTTGTTAAGCCGGCTAAAGCGCATTGTCTGATTCGACTAATTCCATTACATATAGAAAGCGTTTAGCTAATCTGGGAAAAAAAATACATGAATACTAATCGACAAGTACCAATTTGTTTCTTTACTCTTTGGACGGTTATAGTCTCATGATATTGGAAGAAAGTTTTACTTTTATATTCCATCCTTTTTCATGTCAAGTAGTAAAGAGAACACTTATAGTATTGCTTCGACGCAAGTGCAGACCCTCTGTTTGTGGATCCATATGCCGATTGTCTTGTCCCTCCAAATACTTCGAAGGATACGGATCAAGGCTTTCACTCCTATTGTCTTGTAACTAAATTCATTGATGATAAGCTACATTGGACAGTTAGCCATATTGATGGACTTAAGCAGGTAGTCATAAAAAATTTTCCTCTGTAACCTTCGTTTTAAGGTTTGACAGGTTCTTGCTTTAATTTGCAGGTAGTTTTGTTGACTGATGGTATGGATACACGGCCATACAGACTTAGTTGGCCTCCTTCAACCACGATATTCGATATATCCCCAGAAAGGGTATTCCAAACAGCAGCTGAGAAGCTTCAAGGTGAAATAAACTGACCAAATCAAATGATCTGCGGTCTTTGAAGCAAATATTTACGCTAAAACTAGATATACCTTTGGCTAATATTGATCTTGAGGACAGTGGTGAGAATTGGTATGTGTTGTTTACAGGAATGCACTCTAGAGGTGCCAATTATTTACCTTCGAGTATTATGACTGTGAAGTTCATAAAGGCAAGGCTTGCTTTTAGGCTAGGAAAGTTACTTATAGTTGCTTTTCTTAGAAAGTTCAGGATCTTATAATGTTGTATATATTGTTATGTGGCTTCTTAGTAACCTGTTTCTTTACAAGGATTAGAGTGTCTTCTGGTAATGCACAGCACGTAGACACATCATTATTTATTTTTTAACGTAATGCTCTCGCGATTGCGATGGTGTGCTTGCTTATTTTTTCATTCTGATTTACAAGATTGCTTTTCTCTTGTTTTTTCTTCTTGTTCTTTTTTCATGGGTGTTTTTTAGGGGGGCCCGGTGGGTGGTTGGGTAGAGAGGTAGATGAGATCATCTAATTGCATCCTTTTCTTTAAAATTCAGGCATCGGGGCTAAGGTTCCTAGAAGTTGCTTATTCCTGCATGTGCCCATGGAATCATCAGATCTAAAGCAAAGTTTGCATTTGAAGGGCTTTAGTGGCAGCAGGCCAAGCGTATGGATCATGCAGGTGACTAAATCCATCAATGAAATCAGAATTATTTTCCAGAGAAAAATAAATATGTGAATATGATAGTCGTGGAAGTTACATGGTTTTCTTCTTGCAGGGGTTTCCTATGATGACATTGGCAAATTTTGAAGACGTTTTGTCAATGGTAAGCAGTTTGGCCATGAAGGGAGGCGTTTTTGTGGGAGAGTTGCCCGGCTGGTTGGCTGAGACTGGAATAGGAACCGAGGTCAATCTGCAATCAGTTGTCAAGTGTTACCAAGTTTAATTCTACATAACTTTCTTGAAAAAATAGAAAATAAAAATCTTTTCTGGCTCCAGGCACAGTTCAGTACGTGTCAATGGATGGAAAAACTTTTCATGGGCAATGGCTTTCGGGTGGAATTGATTAGCGACGAAGCAATTGCAGAAAGTGCAGGCAAGGAATTTGCTCCAAGACACTCTACTAATCTGCTGTTTGTAGCAGAACAGCTACGGTTTTCTGATGATCAGGTGAGGCATTGAAAGTATCATTTAGTTTGATACGTCAGTGGAGAGGGGTACGTATACTTAGAGTCTGAGATAGTTATTTGACCTCAAGATTGTTATTTGGTAGATGGAAACATGGAGAAGAGAATTTCAAAGGGTGGAAGAGGAAGGAGATGAAGAAGGTTTTGAAGAGTTGTAGCACTGTGTATCTTCACCATAGACAGATAAGTCAGGTCACCTGGATTCGTCCACCCAAAAAATATATTTATTCCTTTTATGCCACAGATCTGCGTGTTTTTATGATAAAATAATACTATATACTAGCATATCTTCTCGCGAGATGATAGTACCTTGAAAAGTTTTTTTATTGTTATACTTATATTTTTAACATTTAAATGTTCTGTATGACTATATTCACATCCAAAATTTTGTTACATGATAATAATCTTACTTCTGCTGTTACTCTCTGGACAATTGATTAAACTTCTCATCGCAATAGAGCTTCATCAAATGCAAATGCTAATGCATACAATTTACATATTATTTAAACTCTCTAAAAAAAGATTTAGACTTTGTAAATTGATGTGAGTATGAGCATGCGTTGCCGCAAAAAATCATGTCTTCAAGAACTGGATCAAAGTGAATGTTATTAGGTAAAAGTTCAAATTTATGGTTTAAAAAAAAAAAGGTTCAAATTTATGAACATTGAACAATGAAATATGATAGGTTTTTCTGTTTGCCCAGCCAACAATATTTTTCTTTGCTTTGAAACTAACTAATTCACCATTATATTCTTTCAGTCCTATTTTTAAATCATCTTTAATATATTTTATTGTAACTAATAAAAACTTTAAAAATCATTAAATTTATTTAAAATTTTTATAAATTTTCAATTTTGTTCATATTAAATATACATATTTAACTAATATACTTTCTCTCACCATATTTAATGGAGGTAAAAAAAAATTGTGATGACAAATTAATGACTTGATTTATAAATAAAATATAAAAAAATATTCTCCCCTGATCTTATAAATAGCACTGGAGAGAGTAAAATTTTTTTTGGGGTGGGGGGATTGCCTAGTTTCCCATTTCCATGTTCTTAGTGTGCTTGATCATTGACTGTTGGAGGTTTTTTTTTTTTTTCCTGAAGACTTTTGGAAAATTAAAACTCTTTAGAAAATCCATTTGACTAATTTATTCTGGTAAAAAGAACTAGTTTAAGTTAGTTTACAAAAGTTATTTTTAATTTTTATACAACTTTCATTCAGAGTTATTTTTCAAATAATTTTCAGTTTACTAAATTAATTTTAAAAAAAATGCATCCAGATATAAATCTTGCTACAATAAATAAAATTTACTAAACTGACTTTCTATAAATGGAACTTTAATAAACTAACTTTTAATCCAACATTCACTTTTAGCTCACAGGATGTGATGTCAACAAAGTTTGGTTCAATTGAAAAAATGACTCCACACGGTAAAAGATGCAAATTCAGATTTCATTGCCAATGCTGAAAGCTTTAGCGGTGGATGATGATTTATAAATATTTTTACTGTTGTAAACGCTCTGAAACCAACCATAGGCCATAGCCTTGAGCCTCTAAAACTCATCTAAACTTTTACTTGTCCACAACAGAACAAAAAGGAATGCAAATCAAACGTGGAAGCGAAAATTCACGATGAACCTACACATCAATACTTTACACTATAAACCAATAAATAAAAAAACCTCTGCGAGTACGTGCATACCCAGGATTAAGGGGGCTTTGCCAGCTCATCGACGGCCTATGTAAATTAAATGTCGTCAATTCGTCACATATTACAGATTACAGAACAATCAAGTACCACAAAGCGATCACTGCTCACATCAACCAACACAACGAATAGGAGAGCCAGCGCCAATATAGTAAATCATCCCCCACCAACCATTTAAAACACACACAAAGTAAGAAAATTATGTGCCCCAGGGGCATATCAAAGCACCATCAATCCGACCAGCCTTCGCTATTAAAATAAATTAGCTGGGTATCCGACCGAGAACCCCTTTGTTGAAATTACAGGCAACATGTGCAGCTGACCTTCAAACGACCATAGCAGCATAGTGAATCCGCAGATAGATAGAGAAAAGTGCTTATAAAGGCCAGAAAACTCAACCTCCAGGGGCAGGACTATTAGCTGGAACTAGAGCCACTATGAACTTGGTGGAATGACCTACTCCTGATTTAGAGCAGGAAGTGCTGGGCGTGGTCTTACTACATTTAGCACCCCTCTTGCAGTTGCCTGTGAAGTGAGAAAACAACGGCCGCGGTAAGGAATGAGCTGAACAAGATAGATAGACTACTGATAAATTAAGGTTCGCTAATCTCATGTACCTCAAAAAATGAATTCAGATTTAACCGCAAGAGAAAACGTCTTAGAAATGGAGCCCGCTGACTCCCAGCTAGCCTGCTGCTGCGCAGTATTGTGTATAACGAATTTGATTTCTTGTTGAATTCCTGATAGAAGTTTGAGAGAACATTAATGAAGATAACGCTATGCAGTCCAAAAATCATAGCTCAAGGTAATTATCGGAGGATAATATTCTGGAGATAGGATGTATAACTAACGGTCTGGGAAAAGGGGGCAAAAAAATTGAAACACTTGCTCTAATTCTGAAAATAAGCATTTGGAATATAATGACAAAATGGTCATTCATTTTTTTCCAATATTAAGAGAGAATTTCAGTCATTAGTAGGGAGGGAAGAGTTCACTCATTTAATGCACAAAACTACAAACAAATGCATCACACATCACTCATTATCATTACTTACCGATTACTCCCTTCAATCTGATTTGTAGGACACATTCTAAAAATAATTTTTAGTCTAAAATGTAAAACACTTTATAATAATTAAACCACCTTTTCCAATTTTACTCATTCTTAATTAGTATGAAGATATTTAATACAGTTGTATCGTCATTTAAAGCCAAAGGTAAAAATAAAAATATATCTCATTTTTTTATCACATTAATAAAAAAATTAATTTTTCTTAAGACATGTGAAACAGTTGAAAGTATCCTACAACAAGTACCAAGGGAGTATTTCTTAAAGAATCCAAGAGTTATTTACCGATAGTGTTCAGTAGTCAACAACCAGTTCCTTGTGGAAATTCTATCTGTATTATGACCAATTTGAATGAAGCATGTCTAGAGTTCTCAAAGCATCAGCATACTTTCATTATTAGCTACCAATATTTTCTCTGCTTTCCATCATCAATGCATTTTTCATTTAATAAAATAAGTTCAGAGGAAAATTACATGCTGAATTTCTGGTATTATTACCTCAGCTATATGTTCCAGTTCCGATGTATTTGAATAGCCATCTAGGTTTTCAATTTTCCAGCAGAATTGCAGGCAAAGTTTCATGATGCTATCCAGTATCCTTGACACCGAACCAATGTCTAGGAAAGACTGTGAAATTAAGGCTGCCAGATACCTGGAGAAGACATTAAATATATAGGATGGTGCTGTTCAAACAAGTGGTGACAGATAGATTGATTTTTTTTTTTTTTGGGGTGGGGGATGAAACCGGGGGTCCACCCAAATTTAGACAAACTCAGGAGCTGGGAACCGGTCCTAGTGAAAATGAAGTATGTATTAACTATTTCTTTACTCTCATCACTAAACTCCTTTTTCATTGAAAACAGATTTGTATTTGAAGATAATATCAGCCAACTGAAAAGCTAAGAAATCATTGCCCGAATGTTAGTACCTATTTCTGATGCACATAAACAATTTGACTGCTTTTTTTTTTTTGGGTTATTAAAATTTGACATCTTCATTACTACGAAGCATGGACACACACAGCAACGCAACACAGACATGAACAAATTGACAAGTCATATTTCAAACATGCGCGCGCACTCTTCCCATTAAGTAATCTGATTTGAGAGAGAGAACATTACAAGTAATATCATAGGCCATAAGTACCTTCTACCATTTTTTTCAAGAAAAGAGTAACGAATAAAAAAATATTGAATTACATTATTCATGTACAACAAATACATTTTATAGTCTCGTAAGGCTAGGATTGCTAATCTCTCACTCTATCTTTTCCCCCCATTTCCTAGGGCTAGTCATCCAATTAGTGTCCAGCACATGTCCAAGCTAAAGGAAAAAAATTAAGAAATTCCAACAACTCCATATGCATGGCTGACCGTACAGTCAACTACTGGTGTCAGTGTCTACCACGTCTGCAAATGGGGGCATCCATGATTAGGGCTTTGCTGCATTTGCTTGTTTTAACCTCTTTCTCACTGTTTTCTCTCAATCCTTTTCTCCAATTAATATCTTCTATTGCCATGAAAAGCGAGGGGGGGTATATCCAGCATAAAAGTAAAAACTCTAAACATGGACAGCCAGGCACTAACATGACAAGGTCCACAGTCCTGGTAGATTTGGTTACTACCAACTAGTATCTGATTCCAATAAGTATGATCATGTAGATCAAGATTTTATACATGTCAAAGAGTTTACCAAACACCAAAAGCAATATTTCATGTCATTCTAAAATGAAACCAATTATAAGGAGGATGCTAGAGAGTAATACTCTTGATGGAAGCCCTCAAGTTCCGTAAAGTCATGAGATTCTTGAATATGACTTTGTAATATATTCCACTGAGACTCTATCACATCCACCTGCAAGGAAAAGAACAAAATTTTGAATTTGAAAAAAATTCTCTTTTTGGTTATATAGAAGAAAATATATAAATATATGAGGATTACATATTATCAAAACATGCAGAGGAATTCTTAGCAAGAGGAGAAAAAGATTGGTAACAAAGAAGATTATAATATCAACTGAGAATGAAAAGCATCCAGAAACTTGCATTAGATTCCAACTAAGGGAATGCATAAGGGATCACTATACATTTTTCAGGCCCCATGCAGTTCCAAACTTACCACAAAGGGATTTACGAATAATCAGAGAGCTAAACATTGTCGGCAGTTTATCAATTTTCTCATCAACTCTCATAAATTTATTTCCCTTCCTGGTAAGTTCACTAGATTGATGAAGAAAACTACAGAAATTGATATTTTATCAGAAACCAAAACTACATGCTGCTTCAATGAGACAAGGTACTAATTATTTGGATCAAATAGCAATTTGACTTCTAAACTATGAGTCCAGAAATGTATAAGACTCTAAGCTCATTTTTCATGCAATTTTGACCATTAGTTAACCAGATAATGATAGAAAAAGAGTTCAAAAATTACAGAAAAGGACCAAAAAAATTTTTAGTCATTGTTTATAATTTTTAGGTCCCAATCTGTAATTTTCTTGATCATCTTCTAGTCAACTAACAGTCAAAATTACTTTTACTAATGATAGGGGTTACATTGTACCGTCTTTAAAAGTTGAGGGAAAACATTACACAAAAAAACAAGTTTAGGGTCACAAACAACCCTAGATCAATAGTTTAGGGGCCAAACCCTAATTATTTCATCAAAAGCATATTTTACCCTGCTTGAAGATATCCAAGTCATAAACTTAATATATGCAGTCAAATTTTCAGACGTCTTTTTAGTAAATGAAAGGACCAAACTAGCTTATTGTATAATATTTATATCAATAATTTAATAAATTTCACAGAAATAAAGACACATAAATGACAACCTGGATATAAAATTGGAGATTCCTGATCAAGAATGCCATATGCTCTCTAACATGCCACATTGGTTGAAGCCGTCGACGTGTCTGCTGTGTTATTGAGCCCTTATCTCGCCCATTACGGTGCTTGGCAAAATCACTGTGACCATGGTGCATTACAGATGCCCATGATTTCTCCAATTCCAATTGTGTCCGTTTGAGCCGCAATAAGTATTGGAAGACTCTACGGTACCTGTCAAAATATCAAACATTTACAGATGACATTGTTTGATGAAAAATTATCATTTTAATTAAGCATTCCAAATTTCAAACAAATTGATTATAAATAGGTTCAAGGTCTAAGCATAAATTAATTTCTTGTTAATATTAAAATTTATGAACATGGTCTACATAGTGTGAAATTAAGATCCAAAAAAGGATTTTGCGAAATGCTTATCTTATACAATTTCGATGGAAATTTTACCCTCTAAAGTTCAGATGTGTCTCAAACTCAATACATCAAGTCTAAAACAATAAATTAAACCCTCCCAAGATGTTTAACAATGCAATTTTCATCTTACTCTACAAATGGGGGCTAACAAATATTGATGCTATATACAACGAAACAACTAAGAAAATAAAAGAATCTGCCTCAAGCAGCAGGATACAAGATGTAGAATCTTACATAGAGAGGATTTCTTGAGTGAAGAACAAATGCAATGGCCAATCAACAGAATACTCAAGAGCAATACCATCCCATCCATCCAGTAACAATTCTGAAGAAGCATTTGAAAGTGAAGAACCAGAACCAACATCTGCATAAGTTGTTGCCTTTGACAAATCTGATTGGGAAGATTTGACCGCAATTCCAAAAGATGGCATCCTATAAGAGAGGAAAGACAGTTCAGCGAACTTAATCCATAATTTGTCAAAATAAAATCACATGAACGAAAAACAAATGAGTTTGAATTCCAACCGCAAGGATACTTTAGAGAAGTATTTGTCTTCTTCACCAATAGTTTTTAATGCAGCCTGCAATGCCAAGAAATTTCAATTAACCCTGCTCATACATTTAGATCATGAACAACACTAAGTCAAAAGTCATTAGCTAAACAAACCAACTGAAAAGGGACCATGAGATCTGCTTCAGCAGTTGATTGCCGTGGTGGCAATCGCATCAATTGGCGACTTTCCTCAAGGAAACACTACAGAAAAAGTATCACAAGTCAAGAAAAGAAGTCAGAAAAACTTAACTAAAATTTGAAACTTTCCTCACTTAAACCATAGCTGTATCCATCATAGCTATGGGCTAAAACAAGCTCATATGGGGGAAAAGCAGGAGGAAGAACATTATCAAAACCACTTTCTCAAGGATAAATAGTTGAAATTCCAAAACATATCCTTTTCCCCTCTACTTTCTTTCTGTAGTAGGTATTGACAATTTGTAGCCTCCTTTTTCTCTCTCCAGACAAAACTTAAACTTCAAAATAAAGTTCATATTTGTAATGATAAAGTGTGGATTGACTTTCACCAAGAAAAAAAGTGCATATTGACTCATAAATGAGTGCACGACCAGACACTAGATAGATAATAGTTCATAACTTACCTGAAAGAAATCTCCTTTTGCCAAAAGAAAATAGTCTTTAAGGGCATTCAAGTGGCCATTCAAGTCAGCTCGTACAACAACAAGCTGCAAACGTGAAGAAAATAGGTATTAATGGTGGCTCCAAGAATAATTGCACCAATTAATAACCATGAAACCAAAGAATTTTATGTTATGCACCTGCCAAAGATGACTGGCTGCCATAGCATGAATAGAGTCAACAGCACATTCAAATGATCTTTTATGAAATTCAGACGATTCCTATAAAATAACCATTAGTTTTCCTTTAGACAGTTAATTGGTATGAGTGGGTTGAGCAAATCTTAATTAGACAGCACATTGATCATTAACAAATGAAATAGAAGATTAGTGTCAATTCAACCACCAAAAAGAAAAAGATAATGCCATCACTATACAGTGCAGTAGCATGAAAAAACCTTTAGGTCTAGAAGCATAGCTTCAATCTTATCTGCCTCAGACTGTGGAAGCAAATCTTCTCCCAGTCCTTGACTATTTACAGCCTCCTTCAGGAATGGAAAACGCTCTGCTAATCCTTGTACTTTCTGAAAGCTTTTAGGAAGTTGGTGATACACAGCAGCACCAGACTGAAAGGCAGGAGTTGGGTTCCTTAGAACCCTAACAGCTTTCCCAGCGAAAAGAATTGATTCTGCGACACGCATTGGTATATGTTCTGGAAGCATATCCTGCCAACCAAAAAAAAAAAAAAACCTGTCCAGTCAAAAGGACAACTGCATTTCCCATTTGTTGGAAAATTAACTTCAGTAATATCATTGTTAATTTCAGTCATATCCATTTCTAAGCATAAAAAAATAAAATTGTCAAAGAAACTGAACTTCACTTGTCAAGAGATGTCAACAAATATTGAGCAAGTACCAAAGAAATATGAAACCCCAAGTGCCAATCTGTTAGAGTTGTATCATCAGTTGACAAGTGGGCCAACTTTCCTGCAATGTCAGGATGATATGAGCCATGTTCTCTATCTCTATCTTCTTGCCTGAAAAATAAATTGATTTAGGTCAACAGATAACTTATAAAGCAATAAAAAAATGGACAGTAGAGCCTGATAAATCACAAAGTTTAGATGTTACACAATCATAAAAAGTAAAAACTGTAAAGAAAAAAAGCAATACAACTAATTATTTAAATTCAACTAGATTTCATATACTCTTACCATGAGTCCCTCTGAGATACTAAACATGTGTACATAAAAATACTGAGCCATGCATATTAACAACTTACACACATAGCGTGATATTGGATTACCTCCTAATGAAAAACTCTCCATGCTGATCTTGAAGGATCCCATAAACCATCCATGATGCTAGCTGCTTGTACATAACCTGATGCCCATGCCAAAGAAGCCTAAGCTTTGGGGAAGGGGAATTAAAAAAAAATGAGTAATGGTTGGCAACGCGTTCAGTTGAAAGTTGATGCCAACTAGAAAGTAAAAGCAAACATTTAGAAAAAAAATGAAAAACAACTCATTTAAAGAAGATATCATCTAATGACATACGACCCAACTTGGCATACTTTAGAAGTTGTTCTTCACTCCTATAATTTTCCTACTGTATAAATAGGAGGAGTTAGGGTTCATCAGCTAAAAGTGCAATTTTTATTTACTAATTAAATACTGAATTCGTATAGATCAAATAGTTGGAAAAGACACACATACTTGTAACACTGAGAAAAATAATTGCATACCTTTTAATGCAAGCCTGTAATTCAGGCACTCCACAATGACACCTCTTGTGTAAAAGATTAAGAAGTTGACCGCCACAGATATTATCACGCTCAATTTCTAGAATGAGCTCATATAAAGGTGGCAAAAGAACAAAAAACTGGAAATCATTTCAAAACCAATTAACCAAAGATCATATCAAAATTATTGAAAATTGTTGCGCAGAAGAGATTCAAAATTACCTTATTAAGGCCTTGAGTAACGGTTGCCAAAATAGGCATGGTTTCAGACAACAGGTTCTGCTCAAGATGCAGAACAGCAGACTTAAAAATTGACAATATCTCAAGAAGGCCATTAGCCAGGGCCCTACGATAAACACTGGGCTTCTCCGCTTCCCCCTCCGACGTCTCAGGGATGACACCCAAAGAATACGCATTCGCAGACCTTATCCAACTTAAATTCCTAGACTTGGTTACAAAACGGTCCAGCTCTCTATAATAAAATCCTAATGTGATGATCCTCTCAATAAGTTCTCTGCAATCAAAACATTAATTCGAATGGTAAAAAGCGACGATATAACTGTTGCGTTCTCCCAATTGCCCAGGAAGGAAATTCATCAAAACCCTATAATGTAGATGAATTCTAGAGTTTAAAAAGTTGGAAAAGGAAAGAAATTGAGGAGATGATGCGAACCTATTACTGGGTTCGACAAAAGAGATGTCAGGAGCGAGCTTGAAAGTGCATTCATCGGAAATTGAAGTGTTAGATGAAAGCTGCTCTCTCTGATCGATAATCAAGTCGCCAGTGTAGCCTAATAGTGAAAGAAGAAGCTCGTGAAACATTCTTCCTCTTGGACCATGCGCGCGCTTGAGATGCAAATATGGGGCGCGCTTGAGATGCAAATATGGGGCACTGAATGGCTGACTGATCTTGTTGAACGAACATATATACTCCTCCACTCTATTTATAAATTATTTCTATCAACTTCATCAATATTAATATAAATATAATAAAAATATAAAAAATAAAAATAAATAAAATTTTAAACATGTTCCTATATAATAAATTTAAAAAATAATGTCTTATTATTTTTTTCTCTCATAAAAGATAATTTTAAAAATATATTTTAAATATTATCTAAAAAATGTATCATAACTTATAAATGAGATCAAATAAACCTTTTAAAATGAAACTTATAAAGAGAGTATTATACAAAATAAATACGCATTCAAGAACAATTATTATTATATGCATCTTAGTACCAGGAATAAAACTTCTAATCAACATCAACAATCAACAGTACTAACTTACTATGCATGTACTGGTCCAAAAAAAAAAAAACAGTCACTATACATGTAAGGTAGCTAGGTATGATGAGTTCTCTACAAATTAAAAAATGGAAAATGAAAAATATTTTTTTATTTTTTTTTCTCATTTAAGGACTTCATTAAAGAATTAATAAGTTACTTTTTATCACCTCACCCAAGGCCAACCGATATTAATTCGAGACGTTGCTTGTTCCTTAATGACATATTTACGCTTGTCATGCACCAAAACTATGAGTAAATTTTATTTTAAAATACGATTTGTATTAAATTTAAATGTACTTCTTTCATGCAGGTAGGGTTTTTTTTTTTTTTAATGGGGTTGCAACTTGCAATAAATTTTAATATTTCTTTACCATCAAGCACGAGTTCTAGAAATATACTAATTTGCCCCAAAAAAATGATTTAGGAGAAAAATTTTACATTGAGACACAAGTGCTTATAATTGTCAAAATCTTTGAGTTGATTCTTCAAATTTATTATTTTTATATTTTTAATTTATAAAATTGTAACTGACTCATGAATTATAACTCAGTGTAAATTTAGTTAAATTCACTAGTTAATTATTTTAGTTTTTTATTTTTACATTTTTAACTTATAAAATTGTATCAACTCATTCACAAATTCATATTAGATGTAAATTTAGTTAAATTTGATAAACTCGTTGGTTTTTATCAAGTTGAGAGAGTTAGATATATATTATGTAAAATTTAGCTTATGTAATTGGCAAGGCCCCATTTAAAGAAGAATAAAAATTTAAAAATGAAAACTAACATTAATAAAAAAAGAAAATAAAAATACAAAAAACAAGTTATCCTATTTTAAAATTCATATGTTAAATATGATAATATTTCGATATAGATGAATCTAATTTCAATGATTTTCATTTTAAATATTTTAAATTAAATTATGATTATATTTCATATTCTAATTATTTAATTATATTTTTTAATAGCTATTTATTAATAGAAGTAGACTCTTATCAATTTATTATAAATTTATTATTTAATTTTATGATTGTAGTTTACATTCTTATTATAAATTTATTTAAATTCACAAATTTGACAACATTGCACGTGCTAAATAAAAAATAATTGATTGAAATTTTATATATATGATTTAATTGCTTAATTAATTGCACAAGATCGTTGAAAATCTATAGGCTTTTTTTTTCGGGCCAAGAAAATATATAGGTCGGCAATCTTTTCCACTGCATTATTTATTGGGCACAGCCCGAGGTGCTTCGATAGAGAGGTCTGTGCGGAGATAACTTTTATGAATCGATTCAAAAAGCAATAATATTTATGAAATGAATTCTGCAAAAAGTACGCGTCTGATTTTTTTAACTTTAAAAAAATTCAGTTTGATTTATTATTTATATAAAATATTTTTTCAATCTCCTAATCCCACCCTTTACAGTTAAAAAAATTATCCTAATCCTAAGACTATTAATTTCATTAATAAAAAATACTGATGTGCTGACAAAAGAATTTACAGTTGTTTTTCACACCAATCGTTGTGATTTTAAAAAAAAATTAAATTTAACATGTCAAAACATTTCCCTATTAATAAAATTAATGACATTAGAGTTACAAAATTGAAAAACACTATAAAATTATAGATCAATCTAAAATCTTATATAAAATTAAAAGACAAGAAATATACTTTCACCATTCCCTTTATTTCATAAATATAAACATACAATTATTTTCAAAGGTAAAATATTTTTTTAAACTGTAATTAAAAATTATAGTGTAAAAATGCACAGAAAGGTTTAAGCTTAATTATAGATTATGTAATTATGACAACATTTGGACCCATCATATCAGCCCAGGTAAAAGATTTGCAAGTACATAGAACTTCCTTGACTTTGAAAAACATTTTTAATTTAAATCTCATCTCCAGTTGGAACCTGACAGCTTCGCATGTTGCCAAACTTAGGACCAACAATTAAAAAATACGAAAATATGAAAACAATTGAAAAAGATCAGCACTCCAATCCAATGGGGAAAAACACTAATATTATTATTACAGAATTGCATATTTAAAAATTCTCATATATGAGAAAGATATTCTCATCGCTGCCTTGAGAGTTGAGAATATAAGATATCTCAAGTGACCCAAAAAAATTACTGTAGAAAACAAATGAATTCGTTAAAAATTTAAAACTGAGAACACTAGAAGAAGCGCCTCTTCTCTTAATTTTATTTTCTCATCCTTTCCTTTGTGCAACAAGCTTCGCGAACGAATAACGCCCGTGCTACTTGCTTGCTTTCTGGCCTTTTCTTTACGCCACATGACCTAACCTTCTTTCCCAAATGACATAAACTGAGAATATTTCAGGAACTGGAATAATAAAACTCTCAGACTACACCCTGGCCTTGTGGTTAGTCTTTGCCTTTTTCGTGGTTTTGCCACGATTGCCTTTATTTTTCAACTTAAGCTTCTCTCCACCCCGCCCCGTTTTTTCAAGCGGGTCCTCAAACTCTATTGGCTTTATAATCATGCCAGGTCTCTTCACCACCTGCACAAATGCAGAAGAACGAAGTTATGCTACTTTGATAATGAGAACTGAGAAACCCATTTCAGACAGTCAAGAATAGTTTTGCGAGCGCGTGTGAAGCGCATTTTTGCTATCCATCCAAAACAAGCAACAAAAGCCACGTCAGAATGTTCCATGCAAGATTTTGTAATTGCTGGATTATTTCAAGGAAAACCAGCATGCTAAGGAACTGTTCTGAAGTACTTACCTCAGGCCGGATAAGAGCCCCCGTTGTAGTTGCTGGATTGAATTCAGGTCCAATGGGCATGCGCAGACTCTGATCAAATACCTCTTGGGAAGTAAAAGGGTAAGGTAATGCTTTCGTATGAAGCTTCTCAGCCTGACATGTCAAAAACAAAGTTATTAACTTCCTTAAATTAAATGAAAAGAATTAAGCCCGTAAACTGAAATACAAAAACAAGTGAACTGATCAGACCACAGGCCTGTTTGGTTCCACTGAAGAAAACGGATCTCATTTTCAACGCAACAAAAGATGAGATATACAATACTACATATTATGTCTTTGTTATCATTATTCAATATTTTTAATTATATTTTCGTCATAGAAACATGAGTGTCATTTTTTTATCTACAAAATCATTTTTTATTCTATTTTCCTTTCTTTTACCAAAATCAAATGTGCCATGCACAGAACCCAAACATCAGGGCCCTACAAATTTAAATCCTCTGAAATCACATATCAAATGCATATAGTGCAATCAGAAACACGTAGAAAAGAGGAAATGAGTGTAAAAAGGAGTAGATACTATGCATATTATCATCATTTGTGTCACAATCCCCAAATGCGACTACATAACTATAAATGATTAAATTTGATAACTCTCTGCTACATGATAAAAGTGAAGGAAACAGAATTATCAAGATCAAAAAATAAAATCTTGTGAGCTTCTAAATCAGCAATTAGATTCTCAATTCTTTTCCTGATTCAAAACACTCATGCAAAATGGAATGGTCAGAATTAGTACCTCTCCCACTCAATAAAAAATTTGCTCTCTCTACATATAACCCCCTACATGCATCTATGTGTTTGTATATCTTAGTACCAGGTCAACTGCCTTGAGTGAACACCAATATGTGACAATAGGACCATCAAAGATAACTCCTCAAATTTCTTATTGGAGAAAGAAATTAAACACATTCACACGATTAAGCTGATTTCATTAAATCATCTAAGGACACAAATACAAGCTCCTAGAAACTTCAATTTAAGCCTACTAACCTTTTTATCAACTTTCTCAGAGATAATCACGTGTTTTAGATGAGCATCTTTCCTCTTCTTCAGAGCTTCTTCCCTTTTCTTCTTGGCAATATCATGCTCTTTCAGCATCCAAGATGGTAAACCTTTCTTTCGCTGTATATCTGTCCATTGCCCCCAGCCAGGGAGGAGTAGAGGTTTTTCTGGCTCAGGATTCTCTTCATTGAGAATATCTTGTTTATCCTTTTCAAAATCCTCCTCCACATCATCACATGCAAAAGCTTGCCGAATGAGCTCCTCTTGAGAAGGAAGTTCATAAGACAGTTTTGATCCAGAAGACAAAATTCCATCCACCATATGTCCTTCACTATCTGTATCACTAACCTCTTCAGATTCCTTTTCAGTATCCTAAGCCATTTACAAAACATAAGGCACTAAACCAACAATACAGTAGTTGGCTTTAACAAATGGAAAGAGTAGATACTTTTAATTCTTGCCTAACAAGCCCCATAAGTTTTGGCGATTTCCTGTTATCAGTGTCTTCGTCACTTCTGTTTTTTGCCTGCTCAAACCAAACGTATTAGTCTCAACAAGTTTTACATGGAAAAGAAACATGAAAGGAAAAATTAATGCTAAGCACATGAAACCTTTTTCCATGTATCCGAAGCAAATATGGCAACTTCATATGTGGTTTTTGGCCCAGGATCTTTAATAATCTCATTGAAGTTCTGTGAAAAAAAAAATTGATAACATGTTAGATTGTTAATTATGTTATATCTATCAAGCACAAACCTACACCTAAGAAGTTAGAAGAAACAGGGATTTCCATCACCTTAAGGACAGATTCCTCACGAATATCAGTGTCTTCCTGAATTAAGACAGGATCACTTGTTACAACATTTAGCGAATTATTACTTCTATCAGTCAACATATCACCATTTTCTCCGGCCTCTAAGCCATCTTCACTATCACTGCTACCATAAAAATTATCAGATTTGATCTTATTACTTGCATCAGGAGTCTGGGATTTAGCTGTGCCAAAAACCCTTCTACCTCTGACGGAAGCAGCTTTTTGATCTTCTGAGCCACTAGGATTCTCCAAATTCTTCAAAGAATTATCATATTCCTGAAGAGCAAGTTTGGCTTCTTCAGCAGCTGCCTCTTTTCTTTTGGCCAACCCACGCCTCTACATCAGAACAAATTATAGGGAGACCATAAATATGCAATAAGAATAAGAATTTACTAAGTAACAAATAGTAGATTCTAGATTTAATACACAGAATTTAACAAGACCAATTAGAAACCTGAAGCATATGCTTCTTCTAGTCAAGAAATAAAAATAAGATCAAATGTACAGAGAATTTTGCCCATAGCCTTAGCTAAAAAAAGTTGAAATTTAAATTGTGAAGGCTTCAAACACTCGAGAACTTGAGGGAAGCTACAAAGACCTCATTAAAATATCTTTACTATTCACTCAAATTACAAATTTCAATAGACTAATTTGACTTTTCTTCTCCCAATTCCCACATCTCTCACCTCTCACACACACCATCCTCCCAGTTCCTTTAACTTTAAAGGACGCACACTCTCATTGTATAGCACTCCACAACACACATACTTCACTACACAAACGTGAATTATTCACCGCCTCTAATATTTTTTTTTCACTTGTATATATATATATATATATATATATATTTTAATATATCAATACGAACATTATCTTGAATATAGACCACTCTCACATTATTAACATTAAATATATCACCAAAAAAACATTAAATATCCTAAACTTCTAGATACTAACCAAATTAATTGAGTACAAGATCCTGAAAATTATACAGGGAAATTAATGAGAAAAATCTAGAAAGTAAGAGGGGGAGTTGGTGATTATTCTTAACACAAAGGAGGGCAATAAGAAATTCTTTCAGAAAAATTAGAAGGAAATTACAACAATTACCATAAAAGGTAGTGAAAGCAATCCTGATTTAGGAACTTCATCTTCTTCTTCTAATACTTTCATTGTTTTATCTTTTGCTTTCTCCAACAGCTTGGAGGCCCTGTCCCCATCAGAGCCATCTAAGTTCTCATCTGCATCACTAGTATCATCACTGCTGCTGCTGCTATCCTTCATAGAGTTCATTTTTCTAGTCAATTCAGTGTGCCTTCGGAGTTGTTCAGCAATGGCAGCACGAGTTCCTTCATCTTGATTATTTAAACCACGTGCTAGAATGCGCTTAGCCCAGCGGTTTCGGTTTTTATGTTTCAGAGTCATGCGTTCCTGAAATAAGATGGAAGGTGATAAATATTATCAGATGCTTTTTTTCTTATTTTCATTAAAAAAATATTGAGAAATGACACCGATCAAGCAAAGATCCTTTATTGTTTATCCACCAAGAATATTAGGATTTTTAATTTTAGGAAACAATGGAATACCTCCGCCCTCTGACGCTCCTGTTTCAGGGCAAATTCTTTAGCAGCTCCAGGGTCCACTTCAATCTGAGCAGATGTTGCCTTCAGTCTATCTTTCTTCAACAAACGATGGTATGTTTTAGACTTGATCTTTTTGACATGCTTTGCTTTCATTTCATGACGAAATAGAAGGCTACGCATTTTAGCAATCCGATTTTGCCTTTCCTTTTCATCTTCAATAGAGATCTACCAGGCATCACAAGATGCATAATACAATTAGAATGTTCACAAGCACTGATATCTTGATTCACAAAATTATAGGTCATTTAACCAAAGAAAGATTCAATGATCAGCTAATCATACCCAATTATCTACAATTTACAACATCTATACCTCATTTAATTCCAGAAGCCTTGAACCATCCTTTTTATGAGCTTCCATGAGTTCATTGTCACCAACGAGTGCAGCTATTTTCCTCTCGAACTCAGTCCTTGGCTCAAATTCAGAAGCTATTGCTCCCACAGTTGAAAACCCCAAATCTGTTTTTTCATCAAATAAAATAGTAGGTGCCTCCCTGTTTCTCTTGATGAGGGGCTCCCACTTTGTGATGTCTTTCTTTGACAATTCATATGCTACCTTCCTCTCAACCTTTGCTTGATCTGCCTTTGGAAGCGGAGCATGAATAGGCCTAGCATTTTTCTCCATTTGTTGCATTCTCTTTCTAAGTTTGCTATAACCAGATTTTCCACGAAGAGGATCCAGAAGGTCATCAATGCTGATGCGTCCATCACCCTCAATAATATCACGACTAGGATTAAATTCAGACTCAGGATATAACTCTGGTATGACATCATCCTTTTTCTTCTTCCTCTTTTCTGTATTGTGGTTAAATTCAAAAGTGCATGTTAATTCCGAAAATAATAACAGAATTCAGAAGCTTCAAAGCATATATCTGAAAATCAAAGTAATTGTTATGTAATGTATATATGCCTCTAATCCAAGAAGAGCTTCAAAGATAAAATAATTCCTAAATAATTAGTCAGAAATGTGTTGAGAAATTTTAAGGTTCACATAAATGGCTTCTACAGTTCTTCTATAACACATGTTCAATAAACTTCTATGATTTGCATCCCCGATAATTGTTTCCATTTCCATTTTCCAAATTATATTTAAAAAAACGCCAAGTGGCTGTATGCTTGTGTAACAGAAAAGTTAAGACCAACTGTCGCACCTTCAAAAGCCTCACTTGGCATCCCAGTAATTCCCTGCAACATTCTTGTATGCCTTCCATCATCTTCTTCTTCAGAATCATCACTCGTGGCCTTTTCATCCTTGGTTCTCCAGTTGTCATCATCATCCACGTTCTCATCATCAGATTCCAGATCCTCATCCTAGATAAAGAAAGAAAAAAGTTAAGTGGCAATGAATTCTAAATATATGGTGAATAAGCTACCTTCAAAACTTACCCATCAACAAGAAGAAGAAGAAATGCAAACTAAGGTAGACACTTAGAAAGCATTTAGGTTAAGGACATAAAGAATAGTTTATTTTTAGTATAATGTCCTGAGTGACACAAGGCTTAGATGTTAATTTCCAATGCCATGGTTTCATTAGTATCACTCTTCCCCTTGTACCATCCTATTTTATCGCTTGGTCTCTCCCAGACTGTTTCTTCTGAGCATAAAAATATTGTGACATAATACAAAGATTTCACATCAAAATTAACAAGACCTAGTGATTTTCATCAATATCTGGTAGAAATAACGAGGCGAGTCGGCGGAAAATAGAGTTATGAAAACAAGGTATTAATATATAGAACACGGAAAAGGGGTAGAATTCGAGCTCAGGTGGCAAATTATCTCACACACACACACACATGACAAGTAATGTTCATTTCAGAGCTAAGTTCGCTAATTAAATCCAAGATAAAAGTCCTAAAGGAAGTCCAGCAATAAAATGTCAATTCAATTCATGCAGCGAAGATGACCCAGCTTTTCTAAGAGCCAGATTAATAATGACATGTAAAAAGTGAAGGCTCAACTAGAAGTCCTGAAAGAAGTAGGCTCAACTAGGAGTGTGATGGGGAAAACAAACTCCACTGATTTTTAGTTCAGCTTTTCTGTGGAGGAATGCTTGAATCTGCTTATCTTTCGAATGATTCGCTCGTTTTACAAGTTATTAAGTTCCATGACAAAAGTACTCAATTCAGAACAATGGCAGTTCAGTCCCAATCCTAACTCTTCCTATAAATAGAACAAACTTTTAAATCTCGGTGCCTGAATCCACTGAGGTATTCCCTATCGCATACAAATAAAAGGCGGGGGGGGGGGGTTCCAATTCCAAACCTTTAAGTCATCAGACAGGTCATCCGGCAGCTCATACTCGAATTTATCCACCCCAACCTGGTCATAGCGCTTGTTTTTCTGAGACTCCTCTTCAGCTCGTTCTTCATCAAACTCGTAAACATCCTTGCCGTAAATTTCCCCCTCTTCATTGTAATCATCAGAAGAAATATCCTCATCGCTATTCAGAGCAGCGGTTGGATTTAAGCGTTCAATCTCTTTTTGCAATGATGAGGGTAAGCGGGGGCCGCTCTTCTTCCGTCGGCCACCGTTCTTCAACTGAGCTCTGGAATCAGGCGACTTTTGCTTCTTACTATTCTTCCTCGACTTCTCTCTTCCCCTGTTGCCATCGTCCCTGCGTTTTCTCTTCGTGTCAGCCATCGTTGCGGCTGCACGCGAGACAAACTTTTTCCAGAGGAGCTCGCGAATGAGTGTTGGATTGGAAGACGTCCTCAACAGAGTAGAGATTTCTATTCGAGTATTTGGTGTTCATTCAGAGCGGCAGTTAGGGCTTCGGGGTCGCCCCAGCAATTTGAATGATGTGGCAAAGCGACAAGTTGACCAAAAATAAGAGGATGGCAACAAAATATCAAAATAATAAATTAATGATAATTAAATTTTTAATAATTTTTTTTATAAAATAAATTATGAATGTCAATGTAAATAAATATAAATAAAAATTTAAATTATAAATTAATTATTATATTTAAAATTTAAATATTATATTTATAGTTAAATTTCTTAAATTTATAATTGTTTGAATTAATATTTATAACTTATTTGTTAAAAATATATTAAAAATGTTATTGATTTTTTTAAACTTAAATGTTATTTTTTCAAACCCTTAATTTTTTTCAATTTATAAAAAGTAATAGATGTTTGCGAGGTTGGATATACTACGTTTACGTTGCAATGTGAGCCGCGATTTTGGTCTATCAGTTATGTTTGATAGAAGTGGAAAATTGTTGCATTTTCATTTAGAAATATGACCATTCATTCTTTCCAGCATTCTGCTCGTCCTTCCATGGTCACCTCAAATGAAAGAAGAGCAACGCGAGTAAAGGTAAAATAGGTTGGGGTTTTACTCGGAGCTTACAGGGCTTTTAATATAAACTTATAGCCTGACTTACTTTAAACCTCACCTAACTTGTTTAGTAAATAGATTTAAGTTAAATTTAAACTTTTAATTAGATCTATTTAATTAAATAGGTCAAGTCTATTTTTTTAAAATCTAGTCTATAGGCCCAACAAGGTGGTCTATATATATATATATATTGTAATATATCTTACAAACACATCAATTTCACCATTTAATTTCTAATCAAGCTATTCATATTATGTAATATATGTTACAAACACGTCAGTTTTATCATTTAATTTTTAATCAATCTATTTTTTTTATTTCTATTGTTATTTTCAATCATATTAGAATTATATATTAATTTTAATATTGTTACTATATTGTTATACCGTGTTGTAATTGATAAGTCTTTTCAATTATTATATATTATAATTAATAAAACAAGTTATATATCGTATGCCATAATAGACTTAAAATATATTTGACATATTTAAAAGTAAAATATGAACATATTTAAAAGAATTACTTTTAAGTGAGATTTTAAATAGACATACAAGACAGGCTTTAGATAAACTCAAACCTGAGCCATAAAAAAAGTCTTATCTAGGCTTTAGGTTAAGTTTAGGCCTCTGATTTGCTATATAAACTTAGACTTATTTAGCCAAAGCTTATCTCGATCTAACCTATTTTTACCCCTAAACTTGAGGAAGAAAGCTTGCTTGGCAACTTCAAACATTTTTTCTGTTTTTTAAATAGAAAACAAATTTTAAAAGTATTTTAAAAAATAAAAAAATTAAATTTTTTTAGAATAAAAAAATAGAAACATTTTCTAGGTGTTTTAGGATAATTATTCTAAAAAATAAGAGAAAATGCAAAAAACACGTGTTTTCATTGTTCTTTATTCTTAAAATATGTTTTATTAAATACCAGTTCTTAAAACAATAAAATAAAAATAGTTTTAAACAAGCCCATATACTCTCTATAATTATATTTATAAATCACTTATTGTATTTTTATGATAATAAAAAAAATCTTAAATCTTATTAATTGTATTTAAGAATTCAACAAATTTTTAACTTTACTCTCATTAAATATATATTCTACAACAATAAAATACTCTAACATTTAATAATATTCAATGCTTTAATAATACTTTTACAAAAAATACTATAACATTTAATAATCTTTCAAGTTTAGTCCCTACAGTTTCGTTGTGTTTTACTTTTAGTCCTTATACTTTATTTTTGTTATTATCACTCCCTATAGTTTTTGCCATCCATAATGTCAGTCCCTCTGGTTATTAATGATTTTAACTTTGCTGAGCTGTTATTGACACTGTTATGATGAGTTAGCATTTATTGTCCATTTGAGTTGTCCACTTGGCACACAAATCTTGTCAGCATATGATTTAGAAAAGAAAAAAAAAACATAAAATAAAGGGAATCGAGAATAACAATAGAAACCTGGTTAATCATCTCTCATTCACGACTAGGGCGCTCTACCAATAGACCCCCACAATTGAGAAGCTAGGTCAAATTTCAGAGATGTCATTGAACATCAACACAATCTTGCTAGATCCCAATTGATGATAAAGTTCCATATTATTTGAAATTTGGAAAAATGATTAGACATCAAAGAGCATTCAAATTTTCATAACTTAGATATTTATAATACATCTACTCAAAGTAGAGTTATGTTATCATTAACACTTGAAGGTTTAAAGATATTTGGTTTTGACCTTTAATCAGTATTTTCTACACGTCTCTTAATATACAAATCAATTTAATATAAAACTTCTTTCATTTAAAAATGAACTTGTAAATATTTTCAAATGCATATATTTTATTCACAATGGATTTTATGAAATTGTTATGGCTTTTCAAAGTTGGCTTTTGAAGCTTCCAGCACATCAGAAAGATGCTACTAATATTTGCTCATCGTTTTGACCATATCTCTCAAACTACTTTCAATTTTCAAATGGGTCATGTTTCGTTAGAAACTAAATATCAAGAGCTTTCCAAACCATAGGTTATTTGCTTGATTTAGATTTGAAATGAAAGAGTTATAACTATTAGAAGTTGACCTATGCTCTATTACGAAACAGTGTCCTTATTTCAAAACAAGTGTCTTATTTCAAAATAGCCAATCTTATTTGGGAATAAGCTCACTTATTCTGATATAAGTTTTAGTTTTTATACTCTGTTCTTCATGTTTGATTTTGTATTTTTTGAAACTCATCTAATATCAATTCCTCTCTCTCTCTCTCTCTAAGTTGCGTCAACCTTATGATCTTTCTAACATCCTTTTAAACACAACTTTGACTAGGATTAAACTCTTAATTTTTTTCCCAAATTGTGAAAAAACTCATAAGCTTAATATGTATTTGATCTAATAGAGTTTTTTTATAATGATTAAGTATTTAACTTGAGTTTAATCTCGTAAGAACCGTTTCTAATATCTAAAGTATTTTAGATGCTCTTAGAATCAAAATATTCAAATTTTGAAAGTTTCTATGTGTTTTTCATTCATAAGGTCCTTATTTCAGAATAACACCTTTTTTCTATAATAGCTTGTTCATTCATGCCCTTCATATTCTAAAACAGGTCTGTTTATTTCAAATAGTCGTTGTCTCTTAGAGTCTCTTTCATTTTCATTATTTCATAATAATGGACCTATTCATTAACAAAATATCTTATTTTGAAATATGTCATCTTTCTTTAAGGATATATATACCTCTTATTTGAGAATAACTTTTCTTATTTCTAAATAAAACTCTATAGATCACCGTCTACGTAAGCTTATTATGATATATAAGACCTATTATGAAAGAGTCTACTTTGTACATTTAATTGAAGTGTTCTTGACTATTCTAGAATATGTTTGAAGAATGATACTATGTTTTTCAATTGGTTTTGTTTCTTTTCACATCTCACTCTATAAACATTCCTTTCATTAATTGTGAACTACCTACAACTTCATTTAAAATGTCACCTATGCTAACATCAACATATTGATGAAAATAATCATTATACATATGTTCTTCATCGCTATTTTCTAAGTTTGACAAAGAATCCTTTAAACTACTTCCATTAAGATCATCCCTATCAGGTCTATTATTAATATCATTCTCCATATCCATACCGCACCTTACAACAAATTATGAAACCTCAATATTTAAACTCAAACAAGCAAGACATTTTAAAAAATAAAGATATAAAAATTACCAACCACAAGAATAGAGCAAGGGTTAAGAAAATGACAACAATGACTCAAAAAGCACAAATGAAATACACCAAAAATTGAGTATGCGAAAAGAAATGTGAAATGGGAGAATGTAAACAAAATTGTAGACATGAATTTTAGATAGCACCCACATAAAATAGAGTATTCGTTGATGATTAAGAAAATGCAAACGACAATGCAGATAGAAACACCAAAAGAAACACAAAAAAGGACTACTCATAGATGGAAAAGGCTGGAAGACATACATTCATTGTCGATTGGGATTTGACGAGATTATGTCAACGTCTGATGACATCTTTAGCATTTGACTCAACTTCTTGACCATAAGGTCTATTGGTAGAGAGCCCTAATTATGAATGAGAGGTGATTAATTAAGTTCCTATTTTTATTCTAGCTTCCCTTTATTTTATGCTTTTTTATTTTTTAAATCGTACACTAACTGGACTCATGTGCCAAATGGGCAACTCAAATAGACAGTATATGCTGACTCACTATAAGACTTTATGGTGTTAATGACAGCTCAACAAATTTAACACCATTAATGACCGAAGGGACTAACATTATAAACAGCAGAAACTACAGGGAGTAAACGCAAAACACCGTGAAAATATAGGGACTAAACATCACATTTTCTAAAAAAAAGAGAAACATAATAATCATTGAACCTTTCTTCTTGAATCCCATGGTCTCTTTTCCCAAACTCTCTCTCTCTCTCTCCCTCTCTTGATCTTCTTTTGTCCATCCTTCCTTTTCTCTGATTTTCCTTCTTCTTTCTCACTCACTCTGGGACACTGACTTCAAGCGAGAAGTTAGGACATTAGACATTAAAAAGGAATATTTATTTTTAAAAACAGAAGACTAGGCTGGAGTCTTTTATTAATCATCATATTTTCACCATCTTTATATCTCTCGATAGCAGCAAATTTTTTACGGATTGTGTTTAATTCATTTTGGGCAAATTATTATGTATTTTTCGTGTTGCTTATCTGTGATATTACATCATTGATATACGTATATCTATCAATGATAAATAAATTTATGTCTGATTATCTATGTCACGCCCGGATCGTGATCTCCTCGAAAAGGAAGGATCAATAAACGTAAGAGTCGCCACTAAAATTTAAAAAGATAATTTTGAAAACCTTTTAAAAAATAAAATGGTCCATAACAACCAAAATAGGGTTCGAGAGTCAGTTGTGCATGAGGA